TTCTGTATTGTCATCAGCAGAAACCAATGGACTTAATAACTGGCTGTACAGAGCTACATACATATGGCAACAACGGGGTAAATACGGTCACTAGGATGCAAAGTTCTTAAGTTAAACTAGGCCTATTAACTAGCACCTTTAGGGTGTTTGCTAAGCATAATGTTCAATTTCTAAAGTATTGATTGCTAATGTGGCGAGAGGATATTTCAATGCTTACTGCTGATGGCTCTGTTTTCAGGCATTCTTCTCAGCTAATGCTGCTGCTCAGGCCTCAAGAAAGTCCTCTCCAAGAGTCACAAACGAAGCTGTCCAAAAGGCTGTATGTTCCTGTGCTTAGTTACTCTTCATTTTTTATGCATTCCAATGCTACCAATTAAATGATTTTACTGGTGTCTTGAACTCTCGATATTCTCATCTCTCTCAGGCTGCCGCTTTGAGGGGCTCTGATCATCGCCGTGCCACAACTGTGAGTGCTAGACTTGATGCTCAGCAAAAGAAGCTTAATTTGCCAGTCCTCCCAACAACCACCATTGGCTCCTTCCCTCAGACCATTGAACTCAGAAGAGTGCGCCGTGAGTTCAAGGCCAAAAAGTGAGTAAACTAGATCTTCCTTTTCTAATTAAACAATGCTTGATATGACATGGCTTATTATTTTTTTCGTTATGACCCTCATTGGTCCTCTGACTGTATAGGATCTCTGAGGAAGAATACGTTAAGGCCATCAAGGAGGAAATTAACAAAGTTGTCAAGCTTCAAGAAGAGCTTGACATAGATGTCTTGGTTCATGGGGAGCCTGAGGTAAGACAGTCTTAGAATCTGGTGTTGTAATTAAGACAGGTTATGTCGGATAAATAGGTAGCATCTTATGAGCTATGTTTTCTTTCTTTAACATCTTGATCTGGATGTATCCAATGCAGAGGAACGATATGGTTGAATACTTTGGGGAGCAGTTGTCAGGTTTTGCTTTCTCTGCTAACGGGTGGGTGCAATCTTATGGATCTCGTTGTGTGAAACCACCCATCATCTATGGTGATGTGAGCCGCCCCAAGCCAATGACTGTCTTCTGGTCCACCATGGCCCAGAGCATGACTGCTCGCCCGATGAAGGGAATGCTTACAGGCCCTGTCACCATTCTCAACTGGTCCTTTGTCCGAAATGACCAACCCAGGTATGGAAGAACGTGAACTTCATGTGTACTTGGGGTCGATGAAAGATCAAAATTTTTATTTCTCCTTTTGGGACTAAGATAATATATATTTATTTCACAGGTTCGAAACTTGCTATCAAATTGCCTTGGCCATTAAGGACGAAGTCGAGGATCTTGAGAAGGCAGGAATTAATGTTATACAGATTGATGAGGCAGCTTTGAGAGAGGGTCTGCCACTGAGGAAGTCTGAGCAATCTTTCTACTTGGATTGGGCTGTCCACTCCTTTAGAATCACCAACTGTGGTGTCACTGATACTACCCAGGTTCATTCATAGCTTCCTTTTTTTCTTTTTTTTGAGAAGCTCCTTTTCCTACGCATGCTGATTCCACTTGGCGGCTTTTATGGACTGGCAGATCCACACTCACATGTGCTACTCCCACTTCAACGACATCATCCACTCAATCATTGACATGGATGCTGATGTCATCACGATCGAGAACTCTCGCTCTGATGAGAAGCTCCTTTCAGTTTTCTGCAAGGGAGTCGAGTATGGTGCTGGGATTGGCCCCGGTGTCTATGACATCCACTCTCCCAGAATTACATCAACTGAAGAGATCGCTGACAGAATCACCAAGATGCTTGCTGTGCTCGAGACCAACATATTGTGGGTTAACCCTGACTGTGGACTCAAGACCCGCAAATACCCTGAGGTCAGGCCCGCGCTCAAGAACATGGTCGCCGCCGCCAAGCTTCTCCGCACCCAACTCGCCAGTACTAAGTAAGCGGTATACGGATTTGGAGAAGCAAACTTCCCAAGGTAACCGATTCTTCCTATACATGACGGTGTATTCCTGTCTTTTATTATTGATTCTATAATTGTGTTTCTTTATGGAATGGTAGGAGCCGCAACATACTGTTTGGGGTATTTGATTTTTTGTTCTTGTACTCTCTCTCTCTCTCGTAGAAAATGTTTTGTGTATGTAAGAGGAAGGAAAATGAGTAAACATCATTACCTCTTGCGCATCAACTTCATGCTTTCAACTTCTTTTCTATGGGTACTGTCCCCTTCGAAAGAAACTTTCCTGCTGTTTCATTTTAAAACCTCTGATGCCTACTGCCAAATGTGGACCGGCTCAGGTCGGTTCGGGTCTTCTTACCACCCGTAGTATTCGCGCATAGTGGGTAATTATAAGCTAGCATTCCTCGTGATTCCGAGCCTTTCAAAATCTCACTATTCAAAAGTCAATCTTTTGACTGAAAAAAGTTCAAATCAGGAGGGACAACAACACATTTTCCTGTTCTAAGTTTGAATGATGATACGTCGGCAAACACAAAGCCGACTGACGTAGCCGTTGTCCATCTTCATTTCTGCGCTCGCTGATACAGATTGAGGACGTGGAACCTTAGTAAACTGGAGCATTCTGTCGATCGTTTCACGTTTCTTGCAAATTTTAAGAAGGCTATGTAATACGTTGGCAGTGGAACTAACTGTTTCGGTGAGAAGAAGCTGTTGGATATTCTTTTGTTAATTAGTCACGTTTGAATTGTACATTCAGCGTTCAAATCATGGCTTCTCCCGCTCATAGTAACGATCGGACAATGTCCGTCACTTCATAGGTAGAGCTTTGTCCGATACACTCGGACGGGACGATTTGCATACATCTCGAGAGGTTAGTTGAGCTGCAAGATTCGAAGATCCCGCGTAATGAAATTATATATATGTGATTTTGATTTGAAAAAAATAGTCCGTAAACTCTGAAAAATCAAGTTAATGCGGTTCTTCTGTTAGGTGCTGCACCGTGTCATTTGTAATTTTCTGATTTGGAATGCCAAGTCAGTGCTGACTCATTTTTCCATCCTCTTACATACACAAAACATTTTCTAGGAGAGAGAGAGCGTACGAGCGCACAAATAAAATACCCCAAAGATTATGTAATGGCTCCTAACATTCCATAAAGAAACACAATTTCTTAATCAATAATAAGAGACAAGGAATACACTATTGTGTGTAGGAAGAATCGATTACCTTGGGAAGTTTGCTTCCTCAAATCCGTATACCACTTACTTAGCACTGGTGAGTTGGGTGAGGAGAAGCTTGGAGTGTCATATAGGATGGCTGGCGTTCACGTCAGCGATTTTCAATCACAATTTGCAAAATGTGAAAAAGTTTAAAGCTCAATTGGCAAAATTGAAAGGTTTAAAATTGAATTGGCAAAAATACAATAAAATAAGACTTTTTGTGCAATTTTCTCCTGTCGATATCGTCCATCAGCACACGACCATAGCTGCTCTGTCTCCCTCGAGCTCGAACCATGAAACACGCTCTCTCTCTCTCACTCTCTCAAATTTGAGGTTGGCTCCAGCGCCACCTCAGCCCTCTTCGCAAACATATCATTAAGATTTATGTCACCGTAGAAGGACAAGAGAACAAATTTGAGTATTCAGTTTGCTCTTTCATTCTATTTAAAATCCTTAAACGGGTCTTATTAACAAGTGGGCACACTTAATAAAGAACCTAGAAATGGAAGGAACACTTTTAAATGCATATATAAAATAACATTGGATTTTGAAAATAAATGAAAACGCAACTTTATAAGCACTTTTAGCGAGATCTTCGACATAATCCGACCTTATGGAAGGAAATCACACAATAAATGCAAAGCATTTAATACCAGTATCAGACAGACAGAAGAGAGTTAATAAGAAAGAAACAAGAAAGAAATCAAAAGATATCTAATTGGTGCAGTAGGGTCTATTTGATTTGTCTCATTTTTTGCTTCGGTTGTTTCATTTATTTCATTTTGGCATCATCATTAATAGAGAGCTACGACCGAAAAATTTATGCAGAACCCTAATTCATAAATCCATTTTAAAGTAGATGTAGTCGCACACCGACAACAAAGGCAAAAGAAAAGAGAAAGTATAATGTGACTCTTGTTGGCATTTCTAGGTTTTTTTTTGGCGTTTTCGTTGCCAACGACCCGTCTCGAACCCATGGCTTCAGCATCAGTTTTAATCCCACTAGACCCGGTTGATAAGTCTCTATTGCCCGACAACCTCGCCCTCGAGGAAAGATACCGGAGAATTGCCGAGAGATCTAGAGCTCGTGTGGATCAACTCGAATCTGCCACCTCTTTGAGTTTGGCGGAGTGAAAATAAATAGCTAAATATGAGTCTTATACCTTACAATCTCGAATCGCTATGCATAACTTTGGTTACTTTGTAACGTATTTGGCTGTTGGCTCGCGTTCTTATACTCTTCCTGACTTGATGGTGGATACAGTTAGTGACATTCCGTATTACGCAAGCTAACTTCAGGAGAAATGAATCGCCACCATACCGAGCTTTACCTTGCAATGGGGAAAAGTGTCAGAAAAAAACCTGAATTTATTCGATTTAGTTTTAAACCTTTTAATTGCACCAATTTAATCTTAAACCTTTTGATCCAGTGTCAATTCAGTCCTTTCTCTAATTTAGCCGGATATTATTGACATGAACACTGGCCGATCTACATGGCACCGCCGTCGCTGACGTACGATCGAATCCCACACGCTGTCGTGAAAAGCAAAAAAAAGCATTTTCATAATTTGTAGCAATTCGATATATAACTTATACTATATTCCGATGATGATGAAGGGCTTAATCTTATCGGTTAAAATTGCGAAAAAATCACCATTAATGTTTTCTTGAGTTTCACCAGCAATTTTGATGCACTAGAGTTTAAATCCTTTGGATGGCTCATTTTAGATTGTTTTTTTGGACTTATATTAATTTCCTCTAATATCTAAAATAAAAAAAGGAAAAAAATAGAGATTATTCTGGACTATATATACGCCAGTGATCTTCTTCATTCATACGTTGTCCCTCTCTCTCTCTGCCCACACCTGCGATTCTGCGAAAACAACGCGAGCGCACCGGCCACCTTTGCTCGCAATCGGAGCGGCGAGCGAAGAGAAGAATGTACAAATCGAAGCTGCAAGAGCTGTGCCACCAGCGATCATGGGGCTTGCCGGAGTACGCGGCCGTGAAGGAAGGCCCCGACCACATGCCTCGCTTCACCGGCACCGTCTCCGTGAACGGCGTCTCCTTCCGGACCCCGGACCCCTGCAAATCCTCCAAGGAGGCCCAGAACGAGGCCGCCAGGCTCGCCTTCGACCACTGGTCCGCGCCGCGGCCTCCTCCCAGGGAACCGCCCCGAGTCGCGCCTCCTCCTCCTCCCCCTCCGTCCGGCGACGGCGGCGATGACGCTGCCGGCACGGGTAAGCGCAGCAACTTGTCTTTTTGAAATGCGAAATCCATATCTGTTTTGGATGAGTGATTTCTGTGTTATTGTTGCGATCGTGGTTGACGATGTCGCCAAATTTCATATGTCGAGTGACAGGGTCACGAACGATTGCTTCAAGTTTGTTTGTTTTTTTTTTTTTTTTGCGCTTGGGGGATATCGGTAGGAACTCACCTTGTGGGCGGAGATGAAAAAGATGCGAGAGGGTTAAGAAATTTGACACGGTTATGTCGATTTTTGTTACCTTAACAGGATTGTGCCCGTTTGAAACTCTTGTCAAATTACTGTAGGCGTAATTTTTCGAGGGAAAGAGGAAGATTGGAGTTCATTCTGGGATACTGTACCGCATTTTGGTATTGCGAGTCCTCCTAATGGCTAGAGATTGAAAATGTATTGCCAGCTGCTAGTATATGTAAGATGCTTCTAAGGTTGAGCAAGTATTCTTGGACGTGTTATTCGCACTATGACGCAAGCACGATTCAATCGCGATACGAGTATCTCAAAATTACTGACAGAAAGGCGAAACTAACATGGCCATACCGCAATTAACTCAAATCCAACGCAACTTATGCGCATCTTTTGACAAAACCTAAATCTTAATCGTATAGAATATTATTGAGCTGTTTTACTGACGATGTGAATCGAATTGTTTTACCGAGGGAAGTTAAAAACTAACATGACTTGCCACAATTAACTCGAAGCTGACACCGGCTTAGATACAATGTTACATATTGACCTTTTGACAAAACCAAAATATTAAGCAAATAGAATATTGTTTGAGCTAATAGGCGACATGAAAGTGTTATGACACGCACTTGATGATGTGTCAAGAATCGTCGTCCCCTGGAAGTTCAGTCAAAGCTTTTGATTTTCCATTGAGAAATTGGCTAAAGGGAACAAGAAGAAAGTTAGAATTCTGTCCCATTGGTTTAAGTGTAGGAAGAATTGAGAACCTAAGGATCGATTGTTGTGTCATTATATTGTTGCCTGTTGAGTGTTGATATATTCTTTCCTTTTATGTTTTCCGATGTTAGGAAACAATTTGTTCCAAGAGTTTAATTTGATAGGAAACGGGCGAGCCTATAGTGTATTTCAAACATTTCTTAATTGCATCTAAGCCAAATATTATCTATGAACACGAGATATTGACATAAACCCCACCAAATAAACTACAGGAGATAAGAACACATTAACAGGAGAACAAGCAGAACAATAATAAGAGGGAGTACAAGTTCTCATTTTGGACAAATGCTACGACACCATGTGACAAACTGTTTTTTCAAAAAAAGTACAATTTGTTAGGAAATGGGCGTACAACCTATATCATGCATATTCTTTCGCTGTTGTCCAGCATATGTTGAAGTTATATATTTTTAGGGGAAATTCTGATCCAGTTGTTGGGTATACATATTTTTTATGCTTCTTTGGTAGGTAGCTCAGCTGATTAAAGTGTTAGTTCATGGACCATTTGCTTCAAGATATGATTAAAAAAATGTGCACCTTTGTAGTAGTGGCATGCAAATCATCATGTCACGCCTCATTTTACACGTTCCTGTTGCTAGAGTCATCACGTGTATACATGTCTCTAATATTGCCTATATTCTCCTAAAACTAGAGAGACTTGTTCTTTGAGTGTTGGCTATTATCATCACTCCTTAGGTTTACATATAATGATATAGTTAAGTTGAGATGGATGCAATCATAACGATGTTGATGTGTTATGGTTGGTAAAGAATGTCATGTTTATAGATTAAAATGTCAAAAGTCTGGAAACGAAGTGATATATATTGGTGGGATGATTGAATGGTTCTGACTAAAGTCGCAAGTGGAATGAAGTACGGGGTATTGACAAGCACTTTTGTCTTGTCACTTATATGCTTCTCCCATTGGGTTCACTTATGCAGGTGCTTCAAGTGAAAGTACAATGTTAGACCATTTGCTTGCCGATTTACAGAAAGTGCAGCCAAAAAAACCAGAGATAAATGAAATTTCAGAAGTCGCTGAGAGCCATTTACTTGCCAATTTGGAGAAACAGCAGCCAGAACTACCAGAGAGCAATGAAATGTCTAAACCCGCTGAGAGCAGCTCAATCGCCAACAATAATACAACTGTAAAAGGTCAGTTGCAAGATGAATGAGCATTGATGCCATAAGCAGGATAATCAGTCCCTGTCTATTCAAATTGATAATGTTGAAGCCAACATAATCTTCTTTTCGAGTAGATTGAAAGTTGCTTTCCTTAAAAGACAAACCTTTGATAGTTAAGATCAGGTATCAGATCAATGAAGTGATTCTTTTTGCTGATTCTGATTCACAAAGTAGACAAGGAGTCGACTGCAAAGATCTTGTGGGAGGTGAAAGATAATGGGCTCCCTTCTCCTGATGGTGGCATTTTTGTTGCCCTTTAGTAAAATATGGATCATATGAAGGATTGGGTTGCTCAACCCGTCCCTTTACCCTGGTTGCCTCCTTGGAAATTAAAAGGATTGTATAGAATGTGCTCAAACTGTCTTGCCCTTTCACTGCATTAAAGAATACAGTCATTTATTGCATTGCCTGTTTAAGGCATACATGGGGTTTCTGTGGTGAGGAAGCCTAACTTCCTAACTTGTGAACTTGTTTGACATTATAGATATGCAGCATTTGTATAAAAACCAACTGCAAACATTTGCTCAAAAGAGGAATCTTGCTCTGCCTACATATTGTTCTGAGCATGAGGGTCCGCCACATGCCCGTCGCTTTCGGTGCAAAGTTTCAATAGATGGAAGAACCTATGAAACTGTGGAGTTCTTTAATACATTGAAAGAAGCCGAACATGCAGCTGCCAGGATTGCTCTGATGTCATTGTCGTCTGATACATTTCAGGAGGTAATTAAAAAATGCAGTTGTTGCTGATTATGTCTGTATCCTTATGAGTGGAGAATCTCTTCAAATTTTTTGATCTGTTCGTCACTTTGTTCCTTCTTTATTTTCCAGGTTGATTGTGGTTTATACAAGAGTCTTTTGCAAGAATTTACTCAGAAACAAGGTCATAGCCTGCCAGTTTATGATACAGTCAGATGTGGCGAAAGTCATATTCCAATTTTTATTTCAACTGTGGAGATAGAAGGAGAGAGTTTTAAAGGGCAAGAAGCAAGAACCAAAAAGATGGCAGAGACTAGTGCTGCAAAAGTTGCTTACATCATTCTCAAAGAGCGTACATCCGGTAAGTTACTCATTTCTTTTTTGCATTACTTTTCTTTAAGCAGTCAGTATGGTATTATGCTGGATTAACTACTGGAAAAAGACAACTTGATTGACATTAATTGAGGCCATTCTTGTCATTATCTGCATCATGGCATGCTGTGGTGTCTTCATGAAGTGAGAGAAATCTATTTAGTAGTAACTTTTTGCTTCTTTTCCAAACTGTTATGTAAAGTACTTGTCTTCAAGAATGAGTAATTTGCCTTAAGTTGCTCTTGTAGCAAAAAAAATGTGGTGTAAACAATTACCATGAGATAGATTAATAGCAGTCTTTTTCATGGTTTAGAGAGATAGTTATCTTGAAAGTTTTATTTCACGGTTTTCTTTCCTGTGCTGTCTGATTTAAGTAACTGAAAAATAGCTGACATTCTGGAGTCTACCATTCATGCTAAATGGTGTAAGAGGCTGATTTGATTAGTTTTTGCATGACAGCAAAACCTGGACAAGATTATGCCATTCTGGTGTCCTTTTTTTTAGAATGTAGATATCATTCTGATGTTCAAGTTGTGGCTGACTTTAAATGCATACTTGCTTTGAGGCCGTGTGTGCTATGAGGTTTAAGCTAGATCCAGCTTCATCATTTCTTTAAGCCGTTTTCCTCTACGAATCAATTCTGTCTCAGCATTTATATTATGTTAGGGAAAGAATGGGGATAATGGAAAGATGACATCAAGCCATGGCAATTGGCAAATGATTTTTAATCAATCTAGATAAACAATTGACTTATCGTAGTGAAACATATTCTGTGTACGGATAATTCTGCAGTACCAGGTTTTTCTGTAAGCTAAAGGCTGCTTTGTTTCTTGACCTTGTTGTTCATCTCTTAGACCAGTAGGATTCGTGCAAGACCAAACCCATTTTACTCGAGTCTTTAGCTAATGAGTTCCTATGGAACTATGCTATTTTCTACTGGTAGTGGAAAGGTCCTCAACTTATAGGAATTTTCTAAGATGTTTGGAAGACAGTAGTGGTGTGAAATCCAGATGCTTTGAATTGAGTAGAATTTGTCGCTTGAAAAGAATTATATTTTTAGAATCAAATTTTATGTTTGGAGACATATATGTTCACATTAAAATGAAATTATCTTTTCCTTATCATTTTGAGTGTTTACAAATATATCATTAAGATGACTCCTTTGCTATTGATTTGTTTAGGGAAAATAAGTGCAAGCTCTACTTCCCAATCCCCTGTTCTTCAAAGAGAAAAGGCGGCTTTGTCATCACATTGCTCGCTGGCAGATGACAGTACTGGGTACCAGCAGAAGGTCACGATCAGGCCTACTCCCAACGTGATCTCAAATCATAGTGGCTCTGATGGAAAACAGATTGATGATAATGGTAATGTTTTAATGTTTTATTTTTGTCTCCTCTTTTACAGTTATATCAATTGACATTATGAAATCTGCATGCTATTAGCTCTTCATTGCTCTTGAACAGCATAAGCATGGGCCTGGATAGTGTGATAAAAGAAGATAAACTTGACATAACTACGCAGTGAATTAGTAGGCTAACTATTGCCTTTTCTTTCAGTCATTTTATTTCTAGATCTTTTCAAAGCTTAGAGTCTTAGAGAAAAATTTTAGACTGTTTCCCGAGTTTTTGCCGGCATTATGAACTCCTTGTATCTATGATGCTATCAACAAGTGTCTGGACTCGGCCCAAGTATCTGTGATATGGAGACCTTGACCTTCTAGAGTGACTTATATTGATGTGTAGTCATGAACTTAAATAAAGTAGGGAGATGATTAAGCCAATCAAGATGATTGGATTTTCTAGAAGCTAGTTGCTTTCATGTGCAGGGGATGTAGCCTGGAATTGTCAATGCCAATGCCATGTTCATGATATGTCTCGTTGAGTATTAGACAAAGTCATTGTCTCACGAGAATTCTGATCTAAATTGAATGACAGAGAATGTTGAAGCTAGCCACCACAATCTCCCAGGTCCATCTAGTGGATTAGATACATTCATATGGGGATCTACTGATCAATTCATACCAAACATGTCAAATGCTCATCTGAGGGATCCGTCCCTAGCTGTTCCCTCTTCGTCTGAAGATGCTTCATCCTCATCCTCTTCCCTCCCCCATTTCACCGATGCGGTTAACGACTCCACTGCTCAGCTGCTAGCTGAATTGAATGGCTTATCAAAAAATGTGGTTAGGGTGTATCCATGCAAATCAAACATGGCAATTCCTTTGCAGAGAATAGTTCGGAGAGATGAAAACTGGGTTGCTGTAAGTGCAGATCCAAGTTATATGGGCCACGCAACCTGAACTTAAAGAAATATCTTACAGGTCATAGTTGTTCAAGGCTCATAATTTTCTGCATATTTTTAAGGAGATCTACTTTTAATCATTCTCTATAAGTAGATGGATGGAAAAGGTTACTATGTGTGAAAGTGGAAGTTTTCTCTACAGCAGATGCTTTTGTACTCGTAGGTTAAGTTCTCATTTGGAGGTTCCTTTTGTGCTTGAAGCTCTTGAGAGGCTCTTTTCAGTAACAGGACTGCTTGATGTTGTTGATGATGTAAGTATTAAGAGTACAGGATTTTTTGAAATACTGCACAGGCATAAGTGTTAGGTCGCTCTTAATTTCATTACGGAATTCCAAATTGTAGTTTCCATGTATTAAATCTAATTTTCCCCATTCAATTAGGATTCTTTTTGAATTTCGATAAAGAATGATGTATTTGAGTGGATGGTTGAACATTGGAATCATCTTGTCTCCTGGATCAAAAAATCTTCTCCTTTTGTTATCCCGTGATGACTCCTGTCTTCTTGCAGCCTTCCTCATTTTAAAGATGTGATGTCTCTCTGGGTGATTTAAATTTCTTTAAATTATGGAGCCCGTGTATCAATGTTAAGTTTTTTTGACACCACGCATGCCAACTACGGAAAATCCTAAAACTTATAGGAATGTTCCCGTGGATGCTTTCAAGTAATTGGTTTTGGCTTTTGAGATGGTGATTTTTCTCATTAGCCATGCATCACTTGGATTGTGTCATTGTCTCTTCTTTTTCGAGCAGTTAGTCACAGTAAAAGTATCTTTGGAAGCAAGAGGCCGACCTAGTGCCTTTAGCACTTTGTTTGTGGGATCTATATTGCTTTCACATGATTATTCATGGCACCTTGTGCCTTTGTATTGTGAGTGATCTTAATGCTGAAGTGAACTCCAGACTTGTAGTGCCCTCGTCAGCGCTAGTGGCTTTAGTTGAATGATCATTACAGTGGGTGACTTGAAACTCATTCTGATGAACCAGCTCGTCCTCCTGCCAACCTTTGCTCTTGAACTCTAGATTATGCCTCTTCGTGCAATTGTATGTTAATTCTCTCCTGTCTAGCTCGAGCCTATAGGGTTGACATCCTGTTTCTGCATTGGCAGAAAGGAGACAGGAGCACAAGAAGGATGGATTAGTTGTAGACAATGGAAGCGAAGACGCAAAAATGCCGGAACAAGATGAAGAAGAGGAGGCGGTTGGCAGCAACGAGGAGAGCCAACAGAATAAGAAAAGAAAGACTTAGCATTTTATTTGGTTACGCTTGATCTTAGTGTGGCCATCTAAGATAACTTTGTCTGGTAAAAGTAGAGGCATTGCCCTTGTAGAAACGAACTCGGAAGCTCATCTTACTCTTTTAGTGACTCAGAAATTAGTTCCCTTTGTACATAAATTTGCCCCATGCCGCTACGAGAACTTCTCAGGATGCAGGGTGTTCATTCTTTGTAGGATTAGTGATGGGAGAGATGTTCCCTTTTTGCAATTTCATTCCCGTTACAATTACAACGTGACGAAATTGGCTGTCGTTCGAATCAGTTGGAGCACGCGTCTTTCAAATCACAAACCGGCCAGGAGTGCACTGGCAAATAGCCTTCCTCCGATCCATTTTGGGGTGATATCTCGATCAAATGAAATGAAGGTTTAGCGATCTGTCAGGCAGATCAAGATAGCCTTGTCATCTGTGGTAGCTCTGTATTTGTCATAACTTTGTGACTTGTTTCCAGGTCATGACTTACGGTAAAAGATCAGACCATGGGGTGCATAATGTAGAAAAGTTCAAGAACCTGTGCATCCCCACTAAGGCAAAGCTCAACTTGGAGAAGAAAAGGTGGGTATAAAGCACCATTACATTATCGGAATTATGGGCAAAAAGGACCTCGAATCCAACAAAAAGGAGACGTGAATTTCGTCAAAAGGCGTGTGAATTTCGTCAAAAGGCGTGTTAACAACGATCCTCCGCTTAATCGCATGATAAAGGATGTTCGACTACGTGTGAGAGACGAGTAAAGGGGGGGATCAAAAGGAGGAAAAAGTGAGCGGTGTATGATGCGCGGAGGCCGTGTAGGATTTAGATGGTTGCAAGGAAGGCAAAAGCTGGAAATTTTTTACTTTCGATTTGACAAATCCAAGAGGCACACATGAATGCCGATTTCTTTTGGGGACGAAAACCACGAGGTGATTCATTGACTTGTGCAATCGATGTCGCGAGCTCGTTTCTACTTCCGTAATCATCGTCTTTGACTCATTTTGTCACTAGATCGACGGCATCGTAGCGTTTCCCGCAAGTTCTTCGATTAGATTATGTAATTCCTACGCTATTCAAGCATAGCAAAAGTTCACAGGTGAATTGCTTCTCCGAAAGAGAGGAGCCCCGCTTTGCATTCGTGAAGTCGATTAGATATGGTGACCACAATTCAGCTTAAAATGAAGTGAGTGTTTGGAGTCCTCTAGAAATGATGATGAGTTTTGGGTTCATCGGGATGAGCTGAAACGATGGTAAAAAGAGAGAATACAATGTCAATATAAGCCAACTCGAGCCAAAGACTTGTTTGAGAGAGAGAGACTTGCAAATAACCGTCGTCTTATTTTCGTTCGAACATCAAATCAACCTAGAGAAGTCTCATCTTCTAACGGTGATGTATTGTGATTGTGATTAGCAATGAAAGGCGTACATGAAAAAATATCAATGGACAGGCAAGCACCGCCGGGAGGTGGTCGCCGTCCTCAGGTGATTGCCGCGAGGTGATCTTGACCCGGCTGGCGGTCGGCTTTGTTGGAGCTGGTCATCGTGCTTCACAGGCAATTCACTTCTTCTAGTGAGTATTCATTGTTAATCCAATTCGAGATGTGCACCACATTATCAATTACATAATACGTAGGTATCTGCGATATCATATGATTGGAATATATCATGCAATCTCCTTTTAAGTGATCAATTTCTTTTCTATAAAGAAATTACCAGGTGTTCATGCATTTCTTCAGGATGCATGCCCTGGTCTATTAGGATGACCAAACATTACCATAGTCGCATGCAAAGTTCTATCTTGTTATCAAATACCATGGTTGGCACGTTATTTGTGAGAATCACTGAACATTTCTTTGGCGGTGCTCCAATGAAGCTTCTAAACCCTCTTGATCGCCGACCGTCTGTGATTCATGGAGAATAATTCTCGTGTCATTATTGTCCAATGACCTTGCGGCCGATCCCCTCACTTTTTTACGACATCGTTTTAATGGAACGACTTGACCGCACAAATTCGACAAATCCTACGACTTAATCGCAGTTTTTGAATGTTTTATGAATCAATTATATTTTGGTGGCAAGTTTTAAGACTTCTTATACACTATGTCCCGAAAATTAATCAGTGAATCTAGTACCTCCAATAAAACGAATGTGGACCGTTGGATTCGATGGGTTTAACGTGAGATCCATCGTTGCATGGGATGATGATGTGGGAGCGACAAGATCTCGGTCGGTGGTGATTCAAAAAAGGTTCGTCCACAAGAACTCCCCCCATCTTTCGAAAAAGCAAACCGACCCCCCCAAATCTCTGGTCGCAACTGCACTCCACTCATCAAATTGCTTTGAAAAATTGTTTTACTCTCTCTCTCTCTCTCTCTCTCTCTCTACCGTCGGATGGGGGTGGCCAGCAAGAAAGCATAGGCTTTGGCAATGGCAAGCACAGGAATCTTCAGCTTCATAATCATAAAGAAGCAAAAGTACCATCTTTGATCTCGACAAGCAAAGCACAAAAGGCCACCTTAAAGCAGCTGCTGCTTCTTCCACTTCAAGTTAAGAATTACAACCCCCCACCACCTCCATCTTTCTCTCACTAAACACCTCCATCTCCTTCACAAGAGAGAGAGAGAGAGAGAGAGAGATGCAACATCGTCATCTGCGACTTGGGATCAGTTAGACGCACGTGTCTCCAGCATCGGATCATCGTCAGCAGCTCCTCCCGACCGGAATGGCCGTGGTTCGGAAGCTGGTCGTGGAGGTGGAGGACGCCGTCAACCTCTCCCCCAAGGACGGCCAGGGCGCTTCCAGCCCTTACGTGGTCGCCCACTTCCACGGGCAGCGCAAGCGCACCCGCACCGCCGTCAGGGAGCTCTCCCCCCGGTGGGACGAGGTCCTCGAGTTCGCCGTCCGGTCCGCCGACTTCTTCGGCAACGCGCTCGAGGTCGACGTCCTCCACGACAAGGCCCACGGCCCCACCACCCGCAACAACTCCCTCGGCCGCGTCCGCCTCAGCTCCTCCCAGTTCGTCTGGAAGGGCGAGGAGGCCCTCATCTATTACCCTCTCCGTGGCAAGAACTGGTACAGCTGGGTCCAGGGTAATCTCGGGTTGAAGATCTATTACACGGTTGAGGTCCCGCCGCCGCAGCCTCCGCCGCCGCTGCATCCTCCCGCGGCGGAGGAACCGAAGGCTCTGGAAGCCGACGCGGCACAGCCGCAGGAGGCTGAATCCAAGCCGCCCGAGCCTGCCGAGCAGTCGCTGCCTCTACCCGATGGGGCGGCAGCCGCCGGTTCCACATCTCAAGCCACACCACCAGCTGAGGGCGCAAAGCCTAATGAAGAGCCACCTAACGAAGATGTGCCGCCACCGGCGCCACCATCGCCTGAAAATGCTCCTCCAGACGTCGAAACTACTGTCAAAGCAGAACCGCCGGAAACAGCAGAGGCAAATCCAGAAGACTCGCAAGCACCGCCACCGTCGCCGGCACCATCACGAACTTCCATGGAGCCCGAAATGGATGCAGCCTCTCAGTGGGTGCCTCCACCGCCCATGCCGCCGGAGCTGATGGCGGCTTCCGTCTCGGCATCAGTCCCCCAAGTAAAATTCGCGGGGACACATTGTTGTCAGCCGATGCCGCCGAGGCAGCCGATGACCAGGACCTACACTATGGATTCGCTGGACAGCGTCGTCATCGAACGTTCGTCGTTCGATCTGGTGGAGAAGATGCACTACCTCTTCGTCAGGGTGGTCAAAGCCCGGCACTTGCCGACCAACGGAAGCCCCGTCGTGAAGATCGTCGTCTCCGGCGCTCACGTCAAGTCCAAGCCCGCGCGCAAGAGCGCGTCCACCGCATTCTTCGAGTGGGACCAGACATTCGCTTTCGGCCGCGACGGCCCCGAGTCCTCCTCCATCTTGGAAGTCTCCGTGTGGGACCCGCCATCCCTCCACGTGGACCGCCGCTCCGCGTCCGACGTGGCGGGCCACAAGTTCTTCGGCGGCATCTGCTTCGATGCCTCAGAGATCCCCCTGCGGGACCCGCCGGACAGCCCGCTGGCCCCGCAGTGGTACCGGCTGGAAGGCGGCGGGGCCCACCATGGCGACCTGATGCTTGCCACGTGGATCGGCACCCAGGCCGACGAGTCCTTCCCCGACGCATGGAAGACCGACGCGGCCGGCGACGTGAACGCGCGCGCCAAGGTGTACCAGTCGCCGAAGCTCTGGTACTTGAGAGCCACCGTGCTCGAGGCTCAGGACGTCCTGCCGTTGGCGGCGGCGGCGAGGAATGAGTTATCGTTTCAGATCAAAGCGCAGCTCGGATTCCAAATACAGAAGACGAAGGTCTCCGTCGCCCGCGACGGCGCCCCGTCGTGGAACGAGGACTTGCTGTTCGTGGCGGCCGAGCCTTTCAGCGACAACCTTATTTTCACCATAGAGAACCGGCTACCCAGAGGGCCGGTCCTGATCGGCGCCGCAACCGTCCCTCTCGTGGCCATCGAGAGGCGCGTGGACGACCGTAAGGTGGCGTCGCGGTGGTTCACGTTCGAGGACGACAACGGCCAGCAGAGCGTGTACAAGGGCAGGGTCCACCTGAGGCTGTGCTTCGACGGGGGATATCACGTGATGGACGAGGCGGCGCACGTGTGCAGCGACTACCGGCCCACGGCGAGGCAGCTTTGGAGGCCGCCGGTCGGATCGGTGGAGCTCGGGATCATCGGGTGCAAGAACTTGCTGCCGATGAAGACCGCGAACGGCAAGGGATCTACGGACGCGTATTGCGTCGCAAAGTACGGCCCCAAGTGGGTACGCACGCGTACCGTATGCGACACGTTGGATCCCAAGTGGAACGAGCAGTACACGTGGCGGGTCTACGACCCGTGCACGGTCCTGACGATCGGAGTCTTCGATAGCTGGGGAGCGTTCGAGCCGGACGGTCCTCAAGAAGCCGCCGCGCCTCCCGATTTTCGCATCGGCAAAGTACGGATACGTATATCTACGCTCCAGGCTAACAGGGTGTACCGCTACTCGTATCCGCTGCTCGTGTTGTCGAAAGCTAGCCTGAAGAAAATGGGGGAAGTGGAGATCGCCGTAAGGTTCGCGCGGACGGCTCCGACGCTCGACGTCCTGCATGTGTACTCGCAGCCTCTGTTGCCGTTGATGCATCACGTCAGGCCCCTAGGAGTGGTCCAGCAGGAGTTGCTGAGGAGCGCCGCGGCGAAGATCATGGCCGCGCACTTGTCCCGGTCCGAGCCGCCGCTCAAGCGCGAGGTGGTGCTGTACATGCTAGACGCCGACTCGCACACGTTCAGCATGCGCAAGGTGCGCGCGAACTGGTTGCGGATCATCAACGTGCTCGCCGGGCTGATCGACGTGGTCCGCTGGATCGAGGACACGCGCGGGTGGAAGAACCCGACGGCTACGGCGCTCGTGCACGCGCTGCTGATCATGCTGGTCTGGTTCCCGGACCTGATCGTACCCACGATAGCATTCTACGTGTTTGTGATCGGGGCGTGGAACTACCGGTTCCGGGGCCGGGACAAGCTCCCGCACTTCGACCCAAAGATGTCTCTGGCCGACACCGCAGACCGCGAGGAGCTCGATGAGGAGTTCGACCAGGTGCCGAGCATGAGGCCACCGGACGCCGTGCGCGTGAGGTATGACAAGCTGCGCGTGCTTGGGGCACGTGTGCAGACGATGCTCGGGGACCTCGCCACGCAGGGGGAGAGGGTGCAGGCGCTAGTGACGTGGCGCGACCCGAGGGCCACGGGGATCTTCATCCTGCTGTGCTTCATGGTGGCGGTGATACTGTACTTGGTGCCGACGAAGATGGTGGCGATGGCATCGGGGTTCTACTATTTCCGGCACCCGATATTCCGAGATCGGATGCCATCGCCGGTTTTGAACTTCTTCCGGAGGTTGCCTGCCCTTTCTGACCGTTTGATGTAAGAGCACTTCAAAAGTGAGTATTAGTATAGGCTCGGTACGGCTCATTTTCGTTCATGCTTTTGCAGAGCACATCACATCAGTAGCTCACAACACTAGTCTCTCTGTTACCAGTAGCTATTGTAATCTTTTGAATTTCTGGGGTTAATTCCAAAAAAAATATTCAATTTTAGGTCGATGGACAATTTTGACCGAACTTTTTTTTGTTCCATAAAAAAGCATCAACTTTAGGTCAATGAATAATTATGGCCCGAGCTTTTTTTTGTCCCGTAAAAAAGCACCAACTTTAGTTTGAGGGATAATTCTGGACCGAACTTTTTTTTGTCTTGTAAAAAAGCACCAACTTTCACTTAAATCCCAAATCTGGCCCTTATTGACTTAAAACCATTGATTTTCCAATTTGACTATTCCACCTTAGCAATAAATCCACGTGACTTGCTGACTGGATTTAAAGCATTATTCATTGTCTTATTCTCTGAACCACAGCTTGAAGAATAACAGTGAAACTGTTCGTCTCCTTAACTTCACCGACAAGTCAAAAAAATCTCCAGATTGAATCTTTCTGGCCAAATTTCGTCGTTTTGTCGTAATCTGAAGCTGTAGACCACCGTCTGTCGACAGACGCCATGAAAGAGATTCACTAGGCTCACCACCATAACTTTTTTTTCTCAAACAAGGGTAACTTCAGATAGAAAGTCAATAGGGCGCCAAATTTGGGATTTAAATGAAAGTTGGTGCTTTTTTACGAGACAAAAAAAAGTTCGGGTCAGAATTGTCCCTCGACCTAAAGTTGATGCTTTTTTATGGAACAAAAAAAAGTTCGGGCCAGAATTGTCCCTCGACCTAAAATTTATGCTTTTTTTTTTAATTAACCCGAATTTCTAACATATTGCCTTGTCTGCCACTTGAGATGAATATTTAGCGGAGCCTTGTCTTTTCGGGTATGATGAGCAGATGATATTAAGTTTCTTATGCACCAGAGAACATGGAGAGTCTATGCTGGTATAGCCCATGTAGCATGGACACGTTTAGGAGGCCGACGTGTCGGTGTCCGACACGTGACACGTGTCTGACGCATTCTGACACGCGGTCAACAGGTGTCGAAAATCCGACACGCGGTCAACGCGCCGGACACGTTGCCGACACGCGAGTCCGGAATCCCGGCACGCAATTCCGATACGCACGGGGTCAAATTTATAAATTTTCAAAAAATTAGGGGTCAAAGTGTAAATTTATATAAAAAAAAAAAAGAAAAGGGTGAAAGAAAATCCTAATCTTCTATTCTCATCTTCATAGTGCCTTCATTCACGCTCTGTACTCCCTCCCCCTCTCGATTCTCGATGTCTCTTCTTTGCTCGCACTAACAATGTCTGCCGAGGAGGAGGCCTTGAAGAGGAACACCGGTTGCGTCTATCTCCTCACCGTTTCTCATCTTCTTCCTTCGCATCCTCCCGAATCCCCACCCTCAGACCCTGGACTCACCAACACCCTCCTCCGTTTCATGGACCAAGAACTCCTCTAGTAGACAGCTCCTCCTCTCCCTCCCGATGCGCGCCATTATTTTTATTATTATTTATTTTTCCAGGACACGAAGTAAATTCTAGGCTTTTTATTATTATTTATTTTATTTGTTGATTTAAATCAAATTTAAAAATAATAATTTATAATGTATATATAAAAATATATATTTAACATACGTGTCCCAACGTGTCGGAATTCTCTATTTTATGAGAAATGACGTGTTGCGTGGCGTGTCGTTTCGTGTCCCGTGTCGGTGTCGGTGTCGGTGTCGGTGCTACATAGGGTATAACATCTTCATATCCACAAAATGACTTGATTAGCATTGCTTCAGCAATTTTCACTCTAGCGAATTCGCTGTACTGTATGAATGAATCCGAATCAATGTCATGCCCCACGAACATTGCCGTTGCACACGCAGATGTACGCTCGAACACAATCTCAAGACAGATTTCCAAGGCACTCTGTCAAATAGACGAGATTGTGCGAGAGAGAATTGTGCTGGTGTCTATGCCGACTCGGCCCAATGAAAAGGTCTGATATGCTCAAGGTCAGGGCGGGCGACTACCTATCAAACCCTCTGAAGTTTTCTGAGACTCAATGGAGTTCACTTCGGCAGAAGTGCACTTATCCGAAGGAAGGTGATGCTTGAGTCAGTTTCCGGTGAACATGGCAGTCGAGCCACAACATTCAGAGACTCCAGAACCTCAAGATCTTGGGTCACATAGCTATGGCTTGTCCATTTTAGATTCCAAGTTCCTTCGCACAGCTAAAATCCAGATGAGAAGGTTAGGTTCAGTTCTTTCAGTTCAGTCCCTTTTTTGGTCAAGCCCATCAGAGAGATTACTATATCCTATCCTGCACATGCTAAATACTCTGTTGACGTCCTCAAAGCAGTTTTTCATAGGCAGACCATTGTTCCGCGACTTACTTCCTTTCCTTTTCTCATTCAATACCACCAACAAACTTGCCGAACCTGTGCCCTCCTGCCCATCTAGATAGCTCTAATTACTACTAAAATGTGAGGGAACAAAGTACTTCCCACGATCTGAGACTAAAGCTCAATAGAAGAAGAGAGGAGTAAAACAGAGAATGGAGTGTACAGAAGTAACCTTTCACATATATGTATAACGAAGTAGTACATCATGCGTAATTTCTTGTCATGAAGTTATTCACAAGATTGATGAGGCAGAATGGCTGGCATCAAAGAGAAGAAACATCAATAACTTCAACTGGGAGGTTTATGGATAAACACAATGCACTATGAGTCCACGACCAGCTAAGCAGGAAACATTTATCAGGACACACTATGCTCCATCAGCTGCAGCAACTTCTTTAGGGGCAGGCTTCTCAGAAGTCTCGCCGTTCTTAGCCTCGGCCTCCTTTATCTTCCCGAAGATAAATGCTTTCTTCTCCAGAAGAGCTTCGATTTTGCCATTGATCTTCTCAAGCTTACACTTCAACCTACCGATGTCCTTGTACTTGTATTTCCCACATTCTTTCTTTTTTTCGCCCTTATCCTTCCCATCTTTCTCCTTCTTTTCCTTCCCTTCCTTATGTTTCCACTTCTTCTTCTTCTCTGCTTCTCCCTCCGACTTGCCGAGATCCTCTTCTACAGTGACTTCCCTCGATATGACACCTGGGCATCCTTCTGTCTCCTCCTCATCCTCCTTCGAATCATCACCGCCTCCTTTTTCCTCGTCGGTTTTGTCCATGTGCTTCTTCTCTTTCTTCCTTTTATCTTTTTTGTTCTTCCTTTTCTCTTCCTTTTCCGTATCTTCAGCTTATGTTCCCTCACCAGATTTAGAGCACTTCTTGTCCTTCTTCTTCTTCTTCTTCTTCTCTTTCTTGTCCTTTTTCTTCTCCTCTTCTTCCTCCTCATCAGCTTCAGGTTTCTTCTTCTTTTTTTCCTCTTTCTTATCCTTTTTCTTTTTCTCTTCCTCTCCCTTCTCCTTTCCATCTACTATTTCCTTGCCTTTCTCTTCTTTCTCGGTCTCTTCATGCTCCTCAAGTTTGTCGCTTGATTCATCATGACACTTTTTCTTCTCCTCGTTCGAAACCTTCTCTCCGTCTTTTGTTATTTCCTCTTTGTCTTCATCCCTCGTCTCCTTCTCTGCACAGTTTCCTTCCTCCCCTTCCTCAGCTTTTTGTTCCTTTGCCATGTCTTCCTTCTGGTGTGGTGGATTGGATCTCTCGATGAACTCATAAGGTGATCCAATCTCCTCGATCTTCTCTTCCTTGAAGTCACTAATCAACACATCCCTGTTTTCTGTTTTGGCATTGAGCTCTTCATTTTTCACCGGTACTTCTCCTTTGATGGTGGATATGCATTTCTCTTCCATGGCGATTTCCTTGCTGAAGTTCAAGATTTGAGCTGCCGTCCCTAAAATTCACAAAGGCAAAAAGGCACAGTCAGCCACTGAGAATCCAGGAAGTAATCTAATGCGGGTGATTATGCAACATTTCACAGGTGACACTGAAAGAACATTATTAGACAAAGCAGTTCAGCATCCTCACACGCTATCGAGAAACTGACTGTGTATGAAGAACAATCGACTAGCAGACGCAGATAGTCAACAAAGAGAAAAGTTGAATGGCAAGAAAAACAATCGGAATGCATAGAACATCCGGGGTTCAAAACTGTGGTTTAAAGTTTGTACACCATTAATTATCTTCTAATGTTGATTCACCTGCCCTATTTTAACTAGCATAAGCCTAAGTGAAAACTTCCTCAATCCAGAGATTGAACACGATAATGAATCCTCCAATTATAATCCGAAAGTCGGGGTGTGTATCTCATAGAATTGATGAGTCACTGGGCTTTGAAGGGTAAGATCATGACAAACTAAGTAGCCAATCAAGCAAGATAATCATCAATAGTATGACAGGAGAAATTCACCAGACAACATAAGCAGAAAGTAACGATTGCTGGCGAAAAACCAGAAGCGAAGACCAGCTTGTAAAGCTATACCTTGCACTGAATCATCCCAACCCCAGAAATTCGCAACAAACTCATAACCACCCCACAAAACGATTAGCACAGAGCTAACAGAAGAAAAAAGAAACTTTGACTGAAGCAAAGATCGACATCACTGAAGCTCGTAAATCAAAGTCCGAACAACGACTGGCCAAAGTTCAACAGAGAATCAGCGAAGATCTCTGTTCTGTCTCAGTTCCGAAATCATCAAACACAGACCCACGACAAAGAATCAGAATCAGAGACTAAATCTAATGCAAAAACCAAGAAACCCGGAGCATCATCTAACAGACACGGCCGGCGACCAAGAATCAGAAAACCCGTTTTCTTGCGTACCTTCGCGCCTTCTCCGACGAAGAGTGATCGATCAAGAAATCTTGAGAGCCTCGGGCTTGATGTTGGGGGTGTGCAAAGTTCGCTCGTTTCACAATAGATTGAAGCCTTTAAATAGACAAGAACACGAGTTGGAAAAGGTCGCGAATTGGGTCGCGAAGTAAAGTGGGGTCACATGCAGAGACGGAAGAAAAACTTGCAGGCCAAGAAACGCGCGAGACACGCTGCCCGCGACACGCAGCGACGTCGGTTGGTTGCTCTCTTTCCCGCGGTCTAAGGACAAAGAAAAACTAGGATCTTTAAAGCTTTCTCCGTAGATCTGACTTTGTGGAAGGAGGAGGACCATGTATACTGGTCGACCGACCCAATCTAACTAACGCTTCTCTTTCAGTCGTTGTCAAGACAATGTCATGCGAAAGCATCTCAAAAGGACGAGGTTCTTGCCTGCTGGTCCTCAACCGCTAAGCAATATGGTGAATGTGTGTAGGTGAGAAAGATCTTTCGAAAGGATGACGTTGAACCAGCCCTTCTGTAGCCTTCCTTTGGTTGACTTTTTAAAAAATAGGAAAAAGTAACCCAAAAAAAAAGTCCTAATCTATTTTGCATTTGTACCAATTTAGTCATAAACTTTTCAATTTGACCAATTTAGTACTAAATCTTTTCGTATTAATACCAATTCAGTTCATCCGTTCAATTTAGGCCGAAAATCGCTGACGTGGACGCCGACGGTCCTATGTGGCACCGTTGTAGGACAGCTGGCGCTGACGCTGACAAAATTTATAATTTTTTAATAATTTTTTTCAGATTTTTTTAATGTCTTTTTTCTTTTTTTCTCTTTTTTTTCTTTTCCCAAAACTGGTTGGCCAGCGAGGTCACCGATTGACCATCGCCGACCACGGGTGAGGGTCGTCGGGCCCTCACCAGCCACTGGCAATGGCGTTGGGCCCTCACCTAGATCTAGGTGAGGGCAACGCCCTCGCCGGCCAACGGATGAGGGTTTCGGCCCTCGCTTGCCCGACGCCGTCGTCTGTTGGTTGGTGAGGCCGCTGCGGCCTCACCTGTGGCCGGTGAGGGTGCGGGGGCCCTCGCCTGTGGCCGGCGAGGTTGTTAGTTCTGGGAAAAGAAAAAAAAGAAAAAAAAAATTAAAAAATCTGAAAATATTTATTTAAAAAATTATAAAATTTATCCACGTCAGCGCCGGCGGTGCCACGTAGGGCCGCCGGGGTCCACGTCAACGGTTTTCGGCCCAAATTAGACGAATGGATTGAATTGGTACAAATATGAAAAGATTTAGGACTAAATTGGTCCAATTGAAAGGTGTAGGACTGAATTGATATCAATAAAATAGGTTTATGACTTTTTTGGTATTTTTCCCTTAAAAAATATTACAGGTTGCTTGACAATGAATTTATTTGCTCTTTATATATATAAGATATTTATAAATGCCTGCGGAGGTCGCTGGCCCTGGGTGAGGGTGGTCGGCCCTTGCCGGCCCTAGTCAAGGGTCGGCAACCCTCACTGGGCCAAGGTGAGGGCACCCAGATTTGGGCGACCGGCCCTCACCTAGGGCTGGCGACCATTGCCCCACCCTGGGCGAGGCCTTGCTGGCCTAGGCGAGGGCCAATGACCCTTGCTAGGCCCAAGTGACGCATTGTCGGCCCTCGTTTTGGGTTGGCAATGTTCACTTAGATCTGGGTTAAATCTAAGCAATGCTTGGGGTCGACGACCCTCGCCTAGGGATGGTGAGGCCTTGCTCGGGGCTGGCGAGGTCTGGTGACCTCCGCCGGCCCCTTTGGCGACCTTCGCAACCCCTTCGGCAATGGGCGTGGCGCCCACCGGCAAAGCTCCTTCTCTCTCTCTCTTCAATTTTGTTTTGTCTTTTTTAATTTTTAGCCTTTTTAGTTTTTTAATTTAAGTAAGATTTGAATAAAATAATAATAAATGCCACGTAAGAGGGAGAAGTTCATTTAAAAATGCCACGTCAACATTTTCCAGTTAGACAAATTGACGATGTTATTTTTAATACTTAATTTGATAAGTTTTAAAACTGGATTGTATTTTTTGAAAGTTTTAAGACTCAATTGCACTTTCACAATAAATTTTAAGATTTCTAGTGAATATATCTCAAGAAAAAACTAGGATCTTTAAGCTTCTCTCTAAATGTGACTTTGTGGAAGGAGAATGACCATGTAACTGGTCGACCAACCCAATCTAATCTTCCCGTCATTGTCAATAGTTTCTAGTTAGACAAATTGACGATGTTATTTTTAGGACCGGTTCCAAAAATTGGAACCGAGAACCGCCATCGGTTCGCGGTCCGGTTCTCGGGTGGATCCATGGAACTGGCCCCACTAAGTTTTCTTAGACAAATAAAAATCGACCGGTCTAATTTTTGCCCGTTAGTGGATTGTGTTCACAATAAGATTCGTCACAAAGTTCACAACTTCACAAGCTTCACAACAAATACATCCGTAGCCTATATTATATATCACACGTGAGAGTTTGCCACAAGTTCACAATAGTCAGCAAGCAAACAAAACAATAACTCTCCTATTTTATTTTTAAAATTTTTTTTGATCAGATTTTTTAATTAAAAAAAATAAAATATATTATTATTATATTAACTGGTCGACCAACCCAATCTAATGCTTCTCTTCCCGTCATTAGTCAATACAATGTTCATGTGACAGTAACTCATAGGATGAGGTTCTTGCTTGCTGGTCCTTAACCCCTAAGCAAATGGTGAAAATGTTTGTAGGTGAGAAAGATCTTTCTAAAGATGACGTTTTTTTTTTGGCAAATCTAAAGATGACGTTGAACCAGCACTTCTATGGCCTTCCTTTCATTGATTTCTTTTTCTAAAATATCACTCGTTATTTATGCATGGTTTTTATGTTGGACTTCCTAATATCTTGCTCATTTTGTGAGTGTGTCCATATGTTAGTCAAATTTTCGCATGCCACTCTTAATCCAGCTCACACCATTTCGTGTGTGTATCCAACTCATTAGTCAAATTTCCAGTGCCACTCTTAAATCCAATTTGCACGTACATATAATCTCTCTTCATTTATAAACTTAAACTTTTGAGTTGGACATCATTCAAAATTTTTTATTGGACCTTGTAAAAAACAAACGCCACGATTTTTTTTTCTTTTCGATAAAAAGCCGTAGTTATTCTGGCATGATTTTACTCATGTCGATCGCCAACGCTGCAACCCACTCGCCCAGGCAAAACCTAATTTAGCACGACAACAATGAATCTATTTAAAGAATATTGGTTGATGGAGCAACTTTGTTAAAAAAAACCATCATATTAATATGTTCAAACGAGTATTCATAACTATAGTTGCTCAATGGAGGTTGAAAGCTCACTTTGTTAAGGAGTCCTTTCTCTGTCTTGAGTTGAAATCGTTTGCGACGGTAGTGCGCCAGAGCTAGACATCGTATCGTAAGGATGTGGATCTTACCTCTTCGACAACCCATGAGTACGATGGCGTCACGCTGATTAGCTTGCTCAAACCGAACATTTCGCTGCAGATATGTTTCAACCCAGGAGATTGCTGTCCAGATAGCTCATACTCACTTCTGCTGTGCGGAACAGACATGCTTAGTGCGGGGGATTTGCTTGCGACCCAAGTTAGCTCGTTCTCCGTTTTGCCGTGCAGGAAAAGGGAACGATTGCTATTGGTTTGCTTGCGGAAGAGACAAGTGCACGTCTTGGTCGTTGACTTCTAGTTGCAGTATCTAAGCACAAGCATAATCTATTCTATAGCACGTCACGTCAAATTTCGATTGGGGCCCGTTAGGGAGTTGCTCTGGACGTTGTCATATTTGCGACAGGACCCATGCCATAATAACGATGCTAAGGGAACGCCCAACGACTCCGACACCCATGAATGGAGGAGGAGGAGGAGAAAATATTCGGTGGTTGCTAATCACCGCATCACCCACTTACGTGGCGTGATTGAGCCCGCGTGGCTCCACTCAAAATGTGCCACGTGTCATTTGAACTGGAACGATAAAAAGAGACCCAAAGTAAGAGAACATCGGTGTGTTTGGGAGAAACGTCCATGAATGCGAAGTACCTTAAGGGTTTTCATGCAATGCAAATTGTGTTTGGTGAACACTACATGTTTTGGGTTTTAGCTTAGCACAATGGCAAAGGATCTCTTGAAAAAATAGCAGACTGATGGAGCAACCTTGTTGAGACCATTACATCAGTATGTCGAGAGGATTGTTCACGAGCATCAGCACTCAGTCGAGGTGGAAGCTTAGTTTGTTAAGGATTCCTCTTGGATCTCAAGATTGAAATCGTTTCGACGGTAGCGCGCCGACTAGATATCATATCGTAAAGATCGAGCTTACGTCTTAAAAAGTTACAGGGACCATGGCAATGCGCTTATTAGCTATACATATGATTTGTCCAATAAGTTGCTACTCAGTTAGCTCATTCTCACTTTTGCCGTCCGGAAAAAGGAACTATTGGATTGGTTATGCAATGCACTCCCAAAATCAAGCATGACATATGTTATAACATATCCACATGCACGTACTTTTTTTGTAATATACAGGATCCAATATAAAACGTTTCGAGATACATACAAGTATATATCATCATTTTCCTCAAAGATACGGCATAAAAAGTCGGGCGCTACTAAAGTATTTTTTTGTGAATTTAGCAACAGTATTGGACACGGAAGTCTGATTTAAAATCTTGTAAATACCCGTTTACATGAAAGCACGATTATTTTACTAGACAGGTAGATACTAGAACATGGTGAAAAAGAAAAATGGCCGATTCAAATCGATAGCTCTAGTTACTACTAAAACGTGAGAGAACGAGTTCTTCCCAGGATCTGAGACTAAAGCTCAATAGCAGAAGAAGAGAGAAGAGAAGCAGAAAACGGAGTGTACAAAAGTGACCTCAATGTAATACGTATAACGAAGTAGTACATCATGCATGAACCCTTGTCCTGAAGTTATTCACAAGATTGATAAGGCAAAATGGCTGGCATCAAAGAGAAGAAACATGAACACACTGCACTATGACTATGAGTACATGACCAAACATGGTCGACAGAAGCTTATGTGGGGAACATCTACCAGGGAGGCACTATGCTCCATCAGCTGCAGCAACTTCTTTAGGGCCGGGCTTCTCGGAAGTCTCGCCGTTCTTAGCCTCCGCCTCCTTTAGTTTCCGGGAGATAAATGCTTTCTTCTCCAGAAGAGCTTCGATTTTGTAATTGATCTTCTCAAGCTTTTGCTTCAACATGCCAATGTCCTTGTACATCTCCTCTTCCTCCTGAGCAGTTTTGGGTTTCTTCTTCTTCTTCTTCTTCTTCCTTTCCTCTTTCTCTTCCTTTCCCTTCTCTTGTCCGTCAACTATTTCCTTGCTTTTCTCTTCTTTCTTGTTCTCTTCATCCTCCTCAAGTTTGTCGCCTATTTCACCATGACATTCTTTCTTCTCCTCGTTCAAAACCTTCTCTCCATCTTTTGTTATTTCCTCTGTCTTCATCCCTATCTCCTTCTCCGCATAGTGCAATTCCTCCCCTTCCTCAGCTTTTTGTTGCTTTGCCATGTCTTCCTTCTGGCGTGGTGGATTGGATCTCTCAATGAACTTTCTGAAGTTTGAGATTTGAGCTACTGTCCCTAAATTTCACAAAGGCAAAGGCATTTCAGCAACTGAGAATCCAGGAAGTAATCTAATGCGGGTGATTATGCAGCATTTTACAGGTGACACTGATAGAACACTACTTAGACAAAGAAGTTCGGCATCCTCATACGCTATCAAGAAACTGAAGAAATGAAGAACAATCACTTAGCAAACGGAGAGATTCGACAAAGAGAAAATTTAAAAGGCAAGAAAAACAATCGGAATGCACAGAACATTTGGGATCAAGCAGAACTAAGAAAGGAACAATCGCCGGTTAAAACCAGAAGGGAACACCAGCTTGTAAAGCGATGCCTTGCACTGAATTTTACCCAAACCCTGTAAATTCCCGACAAGCTCAAACCACCCAACATAACGATTAGCACAGATCCAACAAAAATAAACGAAACTTTGATTGAAGCAAAGACTGACATCAACGAAGCCCGTAAATCAAAGTACGAACAACGAATGCCCAAAGTTCAACAAATGATCAGCGAAGATTACTGTCACAGTTCCGAAATCATCAAAGAAAGACCCCCGACAAGAAATCAGTCAGGGACTAAAAAAACTAATGCAGAACCAAGAAATCGGAGCATCTAACAGACACCGATGCGACAAAGAATCAGATGTCCGTTTTCTTGTGTACCTTCTCGTCTTCTCCAATGAAGAGTGGTCGATCAAGAAAAGAGGGTCCTATGGGGTCAATCTAGATTCTAGAGAGCGTCGGGTTTTCTCAGGATTTTGAGGATGTGAAGTTTGCTCCTTTAACATTAGATTGAGAGGCCTTAAATAGACAAAAATTTGAATTGGAAAAGGTTGAATCCTCAAGTAAAGTGATGTCATATGCAGAGAAGAAGAAAACTTTAGACAAGAACGTGCAAGACACACTGCCTCGACAAGCACCGTCATTGGTTTCTCTTTTGACAGCTGTTCAGGCATTTCTAAAATCCTACACCGGCTAGCCAGGAAGGATAACAAACCTGTGGATAAAATATCATATCTGTAAGCCTCTCCTTAGATAGGAAGGTAAGTAACTGGAGGAGGTCATGTCCGGTTCAATGTTTTTCCTTTGTTATTGTCAAACAATGTGATAGCAACTCCAAGGTTGAGGTTCTAGCTGGTTCTTAAAAGCAAATGACCAATGTGCAGGTGAGGAAGATCTTTCCGAAGATCATTGAACCAGATCCATCTATAGCCTTCCTTTCATTGGATTCATCCGCCAAAGATGTGGACAGGAGCAAGAAAGCCAATGCATAATAACCCCAAGGAGCTCAACTCCATAGTTTTTATCGGGCCTGTAGAAAACGGAACGCCATAAATACACAAACCCGACAGTATAGGTATTGCGACACGATTTCACTCGCCTCGATAGCCAATCCTCTGATGGCCTAACCGACCGCGTCCAGCAAAAACCCAGTTTAGCACAACGAGGAAGAACCTTTACAGAAAACAACGATAGATGGAACAACCTCGTCGAGATCATTACTTTAGTATGTTAAAAAGAGAGGTCGTATCTACGGGCACTTGGTCGAGGTGGAAGCTAAGCATGTTGAGGACTCCCTTTCAGTCTCGAGACCGAAATCACTTGCAATGGTAGCGCACCAACTAGATATAATACCGAAAACATGAAGCTTACCCCCCAAGATAACAAGCTATGAGTCTCGAGTACAATGGCATTACTCTAATTACCTTGCTCGGAACTGGACACTCTGCAAGCAGATGTGCCTAGTCCAGGAGATTGCTACCCAGTTAGCTAATCCCCCATTTTTTGCTGCTCGGAGAACGGTACTATTGGTTTACTTATGCAATGCGGCCCACAGAATCCAGCATGACGTACATTGGCGGTTAACCGGGGAAGACATGTCTGTCTTTGTCGTTGACTTTCAGTTCCAGGATCAAAGCACAAGCATAAACTTTGATTATCTTTCCGTACCGTACTCCAGCTCGGTGGTTTCCACCGCCTGTCCAGAGTGAAGCCCCGGGAGTCATAATATGATTTTGAAGCAAATTTAGTTATTAGTAAAGCTGGCCTCCTCTGTCCCTCCGGACCAAAAAAGGCGGTACTCTACTTTTATATTTTGGTTAATACTACGAAAAACTCCACACCTAGGTATATATATGATAAATTTATCCCAAACTAATTTTTGGATCACCAAAAACCCAGATATAATTGGGACAAAGATAAGTGGTTTTTGAATTAGGCCGATTTTGAAGCAAATTTAGTTTAAAGCGCCTCCTCTCGACCAAAAGGCGGACTCTACTTTTTATTTTGATTAATACTACGTACTATGTGATAATTTATCCCAAACTAATTTTGAATCACCAAAAATAGACAAATTTCTCAAACTAATTTTTGGGTCATCAAAAACTCCAAACTAATACACGTGGGACACATTTACCCTCCTTTAATTTCCGTCAAATTTTACTGTGAAATTGCTGTAACTTTCCGATTCACTTCATCGATTAAATTCCGGGATTACATCTTTGCACGTTTTCAAGCCTTGTCGTCGGTTAAATTCCAGCACAGTTTATGTACGTGTGTTGCTGTGAAAGTGGCTATATTTTCAAGTTTTGTCGTCAATTAAATTCCGGCACGGTTTGTACGTTCGAAGTTCGAAGTAAATGTTCATAGTTATTTTTTGTCTGCCTGCATATTTCCTATCTGGAATCGTCACAGAACCTATCTTCTCTCGTTAAAAGCCGAAAAAAAAATAACTTTAAGTGAAAGATGTTTCGTCGTGGGAGAAATTCTGGCGAAACAATAACACGTCCAATCGGATTGGACGTGTTAGGGATTTACTCCGGGCTTTATCTACGCATACAAACACGCACACAAAACTTTAATAATGGACGACGCTCCTCAGAAAATCAATACATTACAATAAGAAGATAAAAATAGTCAATCGATTGAGAAATCAGAAGGATATTTGCCATAGGGACCCCACGCCACAAAAACGATGCCAACTTGCCAAGGGAAGGCCCAACAAATTAATTCTCAACTCCCGAACTATTTTACCAAAAAAAAACTCCCAAACTAAGGTGCGTTCGGGAGAGATTTTGCCAAACGCCCGCAAATGCAAAGTACGTTAAAGGATTTTTCATGTAAGGCAAATTGTGTTTTATATGCTTTGGGTTTCCTGCAAAGAATTTTTAAGATGGAACAGAAAAAGAATAGGACGATGGGAAGTACAAACAGGATGACAAAGGAAAGCAAACCCGGAAGTAATCGGAGCCGGAGAGGATCAAACCGTCGAGGCGAGGCTAAGGGTCACAAGACCTCGGCGGCCTTGCCCGAGGTCATGCGAACCTAGATCTCATGCGACCTCGGGGTGGCCTAGGTGACACGAGGCCGTGGGTCACGTGACCTCGATGGCCCTGGCTTGAGGTCGATAGCTCTCATGCGACCTCGAGCAGCCCGGGAAAGCGGCACCGAGGGTTGCACGACCTCGACGGCCCTGGCTCAAGGTCGTGCATCCTAGGGCGAAGGGGGGCCAAGCGGACCTGATCTCGCACGACCTCGGGTGTTCCAAGCGAGGACACAGGCCAAAGGGTTATGTGACCTCGGCGAGAATCTGGGAGCTGATAGGTGAGTTTGGTGGTAAACAGTAGGATTTGAGGGCAAAAACAAGAATGCGAAATAATTAGTAAGGGAAAAGTTGGGAGGAAAAAAAAAATCATCAATCGCTAAATAGCATTCCGAAAATGTCGAAGTAGAAATGTTGGGTGGGACCGTGGGAGTTGCATTGGGTGAAGGGACTTAGGAGCCTGCTAATTTGGTTACGAGACATTCAAGAATGCTGAACCAAACACTTCAATTTTGGCACCAAGGCCTCTGCGGAGGCCCAAAAAACCTTTGGTAATGCTCCACTAAACGCAACCAACCAGTATCTATATGCTTATACCTTTTTTAATAATTTACAACGTCAAAATTATATTCTTCGAGATAAAGACGGATATATATATCATCATTTTCCTTGGAAGTACATTACAACAATTCGGCACAACTATAATAAAATCGTCAAATAATGTTGTCATGATCTTGGGTCAATTGTATTTTAAACCAAAAAAGCATACATTTTATAAAAGAGCCATTTAAATTACAACATTTTACAAAAATATCATATCTAATAACTTAGTTTAGTTACTAATCCATGCCATCTAATAAGAAATCACAAGAACACTATAATTTTCTAGAGGAATATGAAATAAAATAATGGCATAAAAATGATTATTGACATGTTACATCATTAATTGACTAAAGAGGGGGCACAAAATAAGTTCCAAATTGAAGTAGTTTTACCCAAGTATAATACGTCGTGTGTTTCTATACGTATAGTTTAGTTTACTCTAAAAGAACGATTAATTTTTCTTAAGTTTAGCAATAGCAACGAAGACGTAATTTTGATTTAAAATCTACGAGGAAATGTGTGGTTTGGGTGACTACGATTATTTTACAGATAGATAAATACTAGAACATTGTGAAAAAGAAAATGGCCCATTCAAATTGATAGCTCGAATTACTACTAAAATGTGAGAGAACAAGTGCTTCCCACGATCTGAGATTAAAGCTCAATAGAAGAAGAGAGAAGAGTACAACAGGAAGCGGAGTGTGCAGAAGTGACCTCCACATATAACGTATAACTAACGAAGTAGTACATCACGCATCAGTTCTGGTCCTGAAGTTATTTCACAAGATTGGTAGGGACAATATGGATGGCATCAAAGAGAAGAAACATCAGCGATTTCAATTTATGCATAAACACACCGTGCTATGAGTCCGAGGCCGAACATCGTCGACAGAAGCTGACCGGGAAACGTTTATCAGGACGCACTATGCTGCATCGGTTGCAGCAACTTCTTTAGGGGCAGGCTCCTGAGAAGCCTCGCCGTTCTTCTTTGCCTCGGCGTCCTTCATTTTCCCGAAGATGAATGCTTTCTTCTCCAGAAGAGCTTCAATTTTGCCATTGATCTTCTCGAGCTTATGCTTCAACTTACCAATGTCCTTGTACTTGTCCTTGCCACATTCTTCTTTCTTCTTTTCGCACTTGTCCTTCTTATCTTTCCCCTTCTTTTCCTTCCCTTCCTTATGTTTCCACCACTTCTTGTTCTCTGTTTCTCCCTCCGACTTGCCGAGATCCTCTTCTACGGCGACTTCCCTCGATACGACATCGGTGCATCCTTCTGTCTCCTCCTCATCCTCCTTCGAATCATCACCGCCTCCTTTTTCCTCGTCGGTTTTGTCCTTGTGCTTCTTCTCTTTCTTCTTCTTATCTCCTTTCTTCTCCTTTTTCTCTTCCTTTTCGGTATCTTCAGCTTCGGTTCCCTCACCAGATTCAGAGCACTTCTTTTCCTTCTTCTTCTTCTTCTCTTTCTTGTCCTTCTTTTTCTTCTCCTCTTCTTCCTCATCAGCTTCGGGCTTCTTCTTTTTTTCCTCTTTCTTATCCTTTTTCTTTTTCTCTTCCTCTCCCTTCTCCTTTCCATCCACTATTTCCTTGCTTTTCTCTTCTTTCTTGGTCTCTTCATGCTCCTCAAGTTTGTCGCTTGATTCATCATGACACTCTTTCTTCTCCTCGTTCGAAACCTTCTCTCCATCTTTTGTTATTTCCTCTTTGTCTTCATCCTTCGTCTCCTTCTCTGCACAGTTTCCTTCCTCAGCTTTTTGTTCCTTTGCCATGTCTTCCTTCTGGTGTGGTGGATTGGATCTCTCGATGAACTCATAAGGTGATCCAATCTCCTCGATCTTCTCTTCCTTGAAGTCAGTAATCAACACATCCCTGTTTTCTGTTTTGGCATCGAGCTCTTCATTTTTCAGTGGCACTTGTCCTTTTATGGTGGATTCGCATTTCTCTTCCATGTTGATTTCCTTGCTGAAGTTCGAGATTTGAGCTCCTGTCCCTGAATTTCACAAAGGCAAAGGCACAGTTCAGCCACTGAGAATCCAGGAAGTAATCTAATGCGGGTGATTGTGCGACATGTCACAGGTGACACTGAAAGAGCATTATGAGACAAAGAAGTCCGGCATCCTCATACGCTATCAACATACCGACGAAATGAAGAACAATCGGTTAGCAAATGGAGAGATACGACCAAGACGAAAGTTTAAAGGTAGCAAAAACAATCGGAATGCATAGAACAAGTGGGGATCAGAACGGCGGTTCCAAGTTTGTACACCGTTGATTGTCTTCTGATGTTGATTCACTTGGCCTATTCTAACTAGCATAACCAATCCAGAGATTGAACATGATAATGAACCCTCTTATTATAATCCAGTAAGTCAGGGTGCGTATCTCGTAGAATTTATGAATCACTATGATTTAGAGGGTAAGATAATGACAAATTAAGTAGGCAATCAAGCAAAACAATCATTAATAAGAAGACAGGAGAAACTTGTCCAGCCAACATAGAACGAAAGGAACAATTGCTGGCCAAAACCCAGAAGGGAAGACCAGCCTGTAAAGCTATACCTTGCACTGAATTATCCCACAACCTCAGCAATTCTCAACCAGCTCAAACCACCCAACAAAGCATTAGCACAGAGCTAACCCAAGAAAACGTCACTTTGATTGAAGAAAAGACTGGCACCAATTAAGCTCGTAAATCAAAGTTCAAAGTCCGCACAACGACTGGCCAAAGTTCAACAAAGACTGCGAACATCTCTGTTCTGTCTTGGTTCCGAAATCATCAAACACAGACCCACGACAACGAATCAGAGGTTAAAATCTAATGCAAAACCAAGAAACCGGAGCATCTAACAGACACCGACGGCAACAAAGAATCAGAAGTCCGTTTTCTTGCGTACCTTCGCTTCTTCTCCGACGGAGAGTGATCGATCAAGAAATGTAGAGAGCCTCGGGTTTCCTAAGGGTGTTGGGGATGCAATGTTTGCTCCTTAAAAATTAGATTGAAGCCTTTAAATAGACAAAAGTATGAGCTGGAAAAGGTCGCGCATTGGGTCGCGAAGTAAAGTGGGGTCACATGCAGAGGAGGAGCAAGAAATTTTAGGCAAGAACGCGCGAGACACGCTGCCCCGACACGCACCGACGTCGGTCGCCCTCCTTCCCGCGGTTAAGGACAAGAAGACTACTAGGATCTTTAAGCTTCCCTAGATGTGACTTTGTGGAAGGAGGAGGACCATGCAACTGGTCAACCTACCCAAAGGACTGGGTTGGAGATGGATAGGTGCTAAGTAACCGGGGGAGGAGGACATGTCCCCATTGAATGCTTCTCTTCTATCACTAGTCAAACAACGTGGTAGCAACTCGAAGGATGAGGTGTTTGCTGGTCCTTAGCCGCCTAGCAAAGTGGTGAATGTGTAGGCGAGGAAGATCTTTCCAAAGATTAAAAGGTTGAATCAGCACCTTCCATAGCCCTTCCTTGCATATTCCCATCGCCCCAAAGATGTGGACAGGAGCAAGAAAGCCAATGCAAAGAGTTTTCACTGGGCCTTGTAAAAGAGAAGACGCTATTGCTCAATCCCCCCGACGCCCCGCAAAAGCTTTAGTTTAGCACAATGGGGAAGGATCTCTTGGAAAAAATAGCAGACTGATGGAGCAACCTTGTTAAGACCATTGCATCAGTATTTCGAGAGGAGTACTCGTGAGCATCCACGCTCGGTCGAATTGGAAGCTTAGTTTGTTAAGGAGTCCTCTTGGATCTCGAGATTGAAATCACTTTATGCGCCGAATTGATATCATACTATAAGGATCGAGCTTACGTCTTATAAAGTTATGGGTAAGATGGCAATGCACTAATTAGTTTTACATATGATTATTCCAATAGATTGCTACTCGGTTAATAAGCTCATTCCCACTTTTGTTGTCCTTGTCCCGAAAAAAGGAACTATTAATTTTGTGAGATTTTGATGGGACTACTATCAATTATTCTAAACAAAATAGGGCACTATCAATTGTTCTAAGGTAAATAGGGCAGGAGCTCTTGTTATGATGTTAATGTGAGATTTTGGTGGGACTACTAGCAACTATTTTAAAAGCTTAAATTATCAGGTAAAAGCGTGGTTTACTATTTAATTATTTTATCAGGTTTGCTTATGCAATGCAGTCCCCAAAATCTAGCATGACATATATTGTAACGTATCCACATGCAGATACCTTTCTTGTAATAATAGGCAAGATGGAAAAATAAATGGTTCGAGATACATACAAGAATATATCATCATTTTCCTTAAAAATACATAAAAAAAAGTTGGGCACTACTATAATCGAATTCATGATTGTGCATTGATTGTATTATACACGAGAAAACCTACATTTTAAAATAATACGTCACGAAATAAAAAAAAAATAATCTTACTTTGAGCATATAAATGATTCTTGACATGTTACATCATTAGTCGACTAAAGAAAGGACATGAAATAAGTTCACAATTGCAGTACTTTTATCCGAATATAATACGTCATGTGTAGTGTGCGTGTATGATGTTGTTTACTCTAAAGGAACGAACATTTTTTCATAAGTTCAGCAATGGCGCCAGACACGAAATTTTGATTTAAAATCTCGCAAATACCTGTATTTAACATAAAAGCAGGATTAGTTTACTAGACAGATGAATGCTAGAACATGGTAAAATAGGAAAAATGGCCTATTCAAAAATCGATAGCTCTAATTACTACCAAAAGGTGAGAGAACGAGTACTTCCCACGGTCCGAGACTAGAGCTCAATAGCAGAAGAGAGAAGAGTAAAACAGAAAAAACGGAGTGCACCAAAGCGACCTCCATGCAATACGTATAACGAAGTAGTGGATCGTGCAGTAGCTCTGGTCCACGAGATTGATGAGGCAAAGATGGCTGTGGCATCGAAGAGAAGAAACATCATTGGACTCCAGCTGGGTGGTTTACGCACAGAGACAAATGCACTACGAGTCCCACGACCAAACATGGTCGACAGAAGCAATGGGGGGAAACATTTACCAGGGAGGCACTATACTGCATCAGCTGCAGCAACCTCTTTAGGGGCAGGCTTCTTGGAAGGCTTGCTATTCTCAACCGCCTTTACTTTTGGGAAAAATGACACAAATGGTTCATTAACTTTGTCCCAACCATGAATTTTTAATTTGTTCAATGTGATCCCCGAATTTTATCTCAATGTACAATGTTGTTCCCAAACTTTTAAATTGTTCAATGTGATCTCTATATTTTTTTGTGCATATTCAATTTAGTCCTTTGACCATATGAAAATGTTCAATGTTGTCCTTCCATTTGAACATGTTCAATTTAGTCATTTGACCATATGAAAATGTTCAATGTTGTCCTTCCATTTGAACATGTTCAAATGGAAGGACAACATTGAACATTTTCCATATAGCTCAGGAACTAAATTGAACATATTCTAAAAATTCATGAATCATATCTCACATTTGTCCAAAGTTTAGAAATTATTTATGTCATTATCCTTTAATTTTGCGTTTTTGTAATATAGGCCGCAACAAAGATGTAAAGTGGAAGGCCCAAGTTAAACTCTGGACGCCAACGCCCATGAAGAGCAAGTGCTGGACAGATGCAAGCCAGTTGACTGTTCCGGCCCAAACCGCATTCAACGAACTAGAGGTACGAGACGACTTACCCACATGCAAATACCTCTTTTAGTAATTATAATACACGATCCAGAAATTATTATATGGTTCGGATACAAACGGATGTATACCGTCATTTTCCTTAAGGTGGGTTAAAAAGATTCGGCGTCGCTACATTAGAGTCGCCAAATGACGTTGAGTCATGATTCTACGTCAATTGTATTATGAACGAGAAAAGCTTATATTTTAGAATAGAGCTATTTAGATTTACAACATCTGTTTCGTTGGAAAAGGCCGTATCTAATTACGTGAACGTGGAATATCATCAATCATGTTTTTGACCGAGTTAGTTAAGATTCATGCATTCCCAAGCGGTTTGGAGCCCCTCTTTTTGTCGCACGTTCGAATCCCCCCGGTTGCTCCTCGTGATCACGAACTCCTGTGTCGCTTATGGTGTAGGAATTAGTCTCGCTTTATTCCGACTTGCATGCGGTGGTGCGACGGCGACGGGCTCGCTCAAAATGAGCAACAATTACTAGAAGTGTGCAAAACGGACAGCTCAAACCGGGAATTGCCAGACCGAACCGGTCTAGCTGGTTTGGTTCGATTCCCGGGAGTGTCGATCTGATTCCCAGTTCCTAAAAGTGGAACCGGTGTCCGGGCAATTTAGTTCCCAGTTCCAAAGGGAACCAGACCGACTATATGGACTTTTTTTATTTTTTTATTTCTTTAACAAAATTAATAAGATGTAAACTAAACCCTAAATGAAACACGTTTTTTATTCGTCTTTTTAATTTAAGGATTATTGCATACATATCACTTAAATCAACACAAAAAGATGAAATCAAGAAGTGGGAAAAAAAAAGTGATCGGTTTCATTAGACCGGACCGGACCACCGGTCTCCGGTTCTTAATTTTGGGAACTGATCCTCCCAACCCGGTTTCCGATTTTAAGCTGAAATCAGATCAAACCAAGAACCGATTATCCCTAACAATTATAGCTGAAACCGAACATTCCGATCGTGAGGTGCGAAAATCTTACGGTTGGATCGAAATGGAGTTATCATGCCGGTCGTCCTTTCTGACTCTTCTCACTGACTGGTGTTACCCCACGAGTTATCAACAATATAGAATTGCGCGGGGTAGGAGAAGGGAAGTACATTCGACGGGCCTCTTCCCCAACCACATTCCGGGATTGGGGTAGTTGGACTGCCCATGTCGCCAGTTGATGTACTATCGACTTCTCATTTTTGTCGTTTTCCTATTATTTTTCCTTGATTTTTTCCCTCCAAAGATTGACTTCTTGGTCGATCCCTCTACTAGCCAACGTTACAAAAAGAAAACGACAAAAAAAAGGGGGAAAAACAAAGGAAGAAGTTGGCTCTTCTTCCTCTCACCATGCTGTCTCCCTCCCGAGTCTCAAATATCTAATGTATACTTTACAAAATAGAAGTAGTCTTTTTTATGCAAAAAGAGGAGTGATATCGTATAAAGAGAAGTGCCAAACAAAGCTATCAATCACACAAAAACTCGGTTTGCCAATAATTATCCACATCTAAACTCAGTCTGCTAATAGTTATTGCTATAAGTTAGTATTACAATTACTTGAACAGGGAATGTAGTAAGGTGAAAGGTACTCATGAACCGCTCAAATTCGATTGTAAAATTTAAATTGGGGTTCGGTTTTTTTTTTTTTAATTCAAGCACTTGAGTTTGTCATATTTTCGTTGGGTATACTCTCTCTAAATATATACATATACACACATATTTTATCGGTTTTATTCTTTCATAAATTGAGTTTTTTTTAGTCAATATTCATAAATAGAGTTGGATCACAACTACCTAAACCAAAATGCACCTCTTAATTACTGAGTTAAGCTCGAGCTTTGAAAAGCTCTATATAGAATCATCGAGTGTTGAATCTTAAGCTTCCATGAGAACATTTGCAACGTCAATGCTTGGGCTTGGGAAATTAATATGACACTCTATTTTTCCCTTTTCCCCTTCTTATGTTTTGTGGCCAGGACTGGTAGGGATCTTTCCTTAACCAACACATTTTATATTTGAAAGAAGTGATAATCACCTACCACCTAACCCCAGAAATATAACTATAGTGAAAACCCCCAAAGGCAAGTGCTATCAACCTTCCTTTCCCAATCATCTTGGAGCCCCAACTGACGGGACACGCAGTGACCCTTTTGAATGAACTTTCAAGAGCCAACTTCACTTCGGAGCAGGTGAAAATTGATTCAGAAGAAAGGTAGGTCCATACATAAAAATATGTATATCTTTTACTTAACAATGTTTCTCCCGCTAGAATGTCTGGTTCGTGATGGTCAGTCCACTCACCAAGCCTATTGGCACGTGAATTTGCACTGTCTACCTCCCCACCCCCCTCCCTCCCTCCCTCCCTCTACATTCCCACATTTTCCAAGGATTCTTTAAAGCCTCTGTCTATGTATATTGTCGCTATTGACTTGAATTTCAGTTCAAAAGATCCTGGTTTTGTTCCATTGCATCTCTCTCTCTCTCTCTCTCTCTCTCTCTCTCTCTCTCTCTCTCTCTCTCTCTCTCTCTCTCTCTCTCTCTCTATTAATATGGAGTTTCGTGGAGACTCTATATGCTTTGCAAATGGCGGTCCTCGTTGTCGGTCAAGCTTTGCAATTCTAAAGGTTAGTATCTATATCTTCCATGAACTACTCATCATGCATGTAAAATTCCATCACTTTCCATTTTGCTTCTTTCTTTTCTCTCTTTTTGGTTCATATCTTTGTTTCCGAGAACATCTTTTTGGGCTTCATTATTCGAAACCAGCTCTTCAAAATTTGCTTGCGATCTGGTTAAAAAGTTCAGAGGGAGGAAGGGGTATAGCCCAAACTGGTAGTGAGGAGTTGCGACTTGAGAGCGATTGATAATAGTTGCAGAAGGAAATCTAGAGGAGCTCCTGAACTATACTTGCCTCTTCTGCTTCATCATGTTATAATTTAGTAATCACTAGATAGTTAAGTCCGCCACTAGTCGTTCCCTCTTTTCTTCTCAGTTTTGACTTCCAGTCGCCTCTTGGGGTAGCTCAGAAAGACGTGCGCAACTTTCCTCTCAGCTTATCGTCAACCTTCTAGTACCAACCTTGGACGGGCGTGGGTCTTGTTCAATGGACGATGATAAAGCATTTGCTTTGCCTCACCTGTGCGGTTGGCTGACTGGTTCAAAATGGACTTGCTTTTATGGATCGAGCAAAAAGACCCGGGCTCGGTTCCCCCACTGTCTAAATGCAAACGCTCTTACGTTTAGACAGCCACACGAATTTTCGTTCGCATTTTACTTCGCTCATGAATTTTTGAGGCCAGGTCTCTAAAACAGACTTTCTTGTCATCATATACAAAGACAAATTATCTGCTGTCGGCTCGGATTTGAGGTAACTTTTTCCTTTTCTGGACTCGGTCTTGTGTGAGATTGATACAATCGATTTCTGTAATTCACTCGTTTCATACGGGTCTAGGTAGGATATACTGCATCTACTTGACACATCACTAGGTGAATGAGGCCACTGGGCCCCCACCCGTTTAGGCACTAAATTTATTCTCACTTTATCGACACAAATTTTATAAGATTTACCTACTAAGCTCCCTGCGAAGCCTCCATGTATGCACGACATATATACATATATATACATGTGTGAACTATTATGTTGGCCATTTTTGCATTGCTTTTACGTGGATATGTGTAGTGATATATTAAATTAGTAGGAGACGAGATGAAATAGTATTTGCCATACCTTAGCTTATTCAAAATTTACAGAAAAATATCATAGGCTGCAGTATAGACACCTTAGCTAATTCAAATTTTACGCAAAACGCCATATTGCTTTTACATATATAAGCGCCACCACTAGCCTCCTTTATCCGTCATTGTATATACGTGTACTTGAAAGTCAAGTGCAACTTTTTAATGAGTCTTCCTCTTATAAATGGCGACGATGCATTGCCATTACACTATGCAACTTCTTTCCTCCCATATCTTGTTTTATGGAGGACATTTGTGTTCTTACTTTCCTGACAAAGGAAAATGGAAAATTAACAAGGGAGAGGGAAGTTTAAGGGGCACACTGAGCATAAAGTTCAAACCCAAAAAAAATTGCAGAGATGACTTTTTAGATAGAGCAGAAATAGGGTTAGATATGCCACTCGAGCTCCTCACCCATAACTGGTTATGGTTCTTGGCCATAGGAGTACTCGACACTAGATGTCTTCTATTTTGATGAGGAAGAGCAGAAATCGACATCATGTATAGAGAGGTTTAAGAGCATATGGAGCCCAAGGTGAAGGCATGGGCCACATTTCTTAATTAGACCGCAGAACCAAGGTTAGATGTACCAGTTACAAGCGGGTGTGGGACTTTTGGCCATAGGGGTACTCCACACTAAGCGTATTCTTTTCTGATGAGGAAAAAGAAAATTTTGACATGTAGAACTTTTCCCCCCTGATTCACCTTTCGTATGTAGTATTCTACAATCGTCAAGTTATTTGGTAAAAAGAAGCATTAGTAGAGCTCTTTTTTCTGTAGAAGGTAGCACATTCAAGTAAAGGTGATCGGTTTCAAGGTGGTAGGATCCAGATCCGGAACCTGGAATCTACCCTATTAGAATCAGTTTCCAATTTTTGGAACTTGGAACTTACCATGTTTAGCCTGAAAGCGATCCTGTTTTTCCGGTCCGCTTTTAGGGTCTACCCAAGACCTGTTTTTCTTTTGTTCATTTTTTTGGTTTCATTTTTTATAGCAAATTAATAAGAGCAACAAAACGATTCAAAGTAAAAGATGAATGAGGGCAAGCAAGCAAAGGTGAGTCAGAAACGAGTGAGGGTTGTGAGGCTCGAATGAGCAAGGGTGAGCAGTGAGTGAGCGAGGAGGAGGGTGAGTCGCGAGTGAGAGAGAGAGAGAGAGAGTCATGAAGTGTTTGAGTGAGGTTGGAGAGAAAGAGAAAAAGAGAGAGATAGAGAAAAAGAGCCAAGAGAAAAACTAGGGTTTGTAGACTTCATGAAACCGGTTTTAAATTCGTTCCAATTGGTCCGGCTCCCGGGTAGCTCTTCACTCGAAACTAGGAACTTGACCTATTTTCAGGGTGGTTAGTTCCGGTTCTCGGGTAAAACCAATTCGGTTGCACAGCCCTACATTCAAGTGCGTCTTCAACATGACATGTATGGACACTTCATTTTTCTTTACTACCAGTCTACCATAGCAACTGACCTTAAAGTGTTCTTCGGTGTTCGTGCTTGCTATGTGGTTGTGAGAAGTATACCACAAGAGATATATAAGGAATAAGGACCTCGCTAATTTTTAATCTGGTTCAGCTCAAGCACGAATGTCCTCGTCTCTTGTAGTCAAGATTGATCTATCGTAAGTCTCTATTGTTAGAGAACAACCGTCGCCACCGATAAAACGCGATGCTCTAAGAAATTCAGAGAAAAGTAAAAGTAAAGGTTGCAAAATACAATGGAATGGTTGCAATGCATTATATGACCTGACCCGGGTTCCGTTGTTTGCATGGGCCGTACGAGATTATTTCACGTGTATAATATCCTTGATTCATATATAGCACGCCTGATTTTCAGTTCTAGATTATCAATAGGTAAGTAGCAAGAAATTCAAGCTCGTGCCTTTCTTTAGAAGGCCAAAAAGTTGCCGCAATTTCTTGCTTGCTTAAGAATGCTGAGTAAGCTAGGGTTTCAGGTGCTCTAGAATAAGCTTATTAGCATCTCATATGCGTTCGAGTATGAGCTGAGTGCGTTGTTTTATATCTATTGCTATTATAAACCTCCTCACTACTTAAATTAATAAAGTTCGAGCTAGTACGTATTTAGGAAAATCGCGGATGAGATATTTTGATTATGGTGGGCAAATACTACCACGTGGCATATTGGGAGATAAATCTGGGACCCGAGAAAGAGAGCATTATTGATTTTGAGCTGGTTCAACCATGAAGGCTTAGCTAGAAGTTCGCTAATGACACTTTCTTTAGGGGAGGTATATATAGGTAAATAAGCATCCTGACTAACTTGGTGCTTTCTAAATGCGATCCCTTTGCATGCACGGTGCATTATGGATGAATCACGTTCATATAAAGTCATACAAATTCCTAAATTTGAGAATGAAGAATCAAAATGTGCTTCATCAAGAACATGCATGGATTCTTGTTGCAACTTTAAAATGCCCCAGCGTTGATATTTCATTATGTCACCAGATCACCTTGTGATATCTAATCCATGTAAGAGATGTAATATATGTAGGGATGATTTCTTACTGAGTTTCATTACAATGTCTTTACCTGGATCTGCTTCATTCCGGGTTTGCTCTTTTTCCAAATCCCGAATTGGACCAACCAAAAAAAAAAAAAGAATTGGATTTGTCTAAATGTTGATAACAATATGGCCTCGTTGCTTAGTAATTATGTAAACATCTAGTAATATGTGTACTTCATATAGTCTTCTATGTCAATTAAGTGAGTAAACAAATCAACACCCTTAATTACATGTGAGAATGCTAAAAAGGGCATGCACATTCCTTGTAATAAAATTATTATTACTACAAGTAAAAGACTGTGCCTTAATAGATCGAGTGCTTCATTTATCTGTGGAGCAATATGTATATATGATATCTAGCTGCATGAGTATGAATGAAGCTTCTACACATCTATGCACTTAATAAGATTTATCAAATTGTATATCACTTCTTCAACTAGATTTGTCTTGCAATTTTAGTCATTACTCATAAACTTTTAGCACGGCTGTTGTCGATCAACCTGTCATTGTGGTATCTCAGCTTCAAAATTACCTTTAAAATAAGGATATTCGGATTCGTGTTGCATATCTAAGAAATAAAGAGGAACTGTGCTCAAATTACCTTTCACACAATCTTTTAATGTACGATCAGCTAGGGAAAGATTCATATGCCCCAAAGGTAATGAAATGCAGTAACTTTGTCATTATAAGTACACACATTCACATCTAGAGAAGCACTAAAGTTTTCTTACAAGAGCAACGGAAAGATTAACAAATGAAGAAAGAAAGAAAATGACTCTTTGATTGAAATAAGAGTCTAATTTGAAGATTTACGCTGTCCCGACAGTGAAAAAATCAACTTCCACGCACAATACTTGCATACTAGCTACCATTTGTGCATCTCAAATATACTAAAAGTGTTTCTTTAACCATAGATGCACACATGGCAATGTGCTTGCATCATCCATGAGAAGTTCATTTTTTCCGTCGACCATTTGGACAGGACAAAAACTTGAGAAATTAAGTTATAGAACTATATATTTGTACCCTTTCTTTGGGACTCGCGCGCAGTGATTATAGGTTCCATTTTTGCTGATCAGCTAGTGGCCCCATTGCAGCTCTCAATTCAGCTTCCCAGATGGCTCCTTGATTATTGAAGGTATTCATAGCAGAAGAAACCATAGGAAGGAAAGAAGTCGCACGCTGATGCTGATTCGTGTACCCATCCTCGTTGATCAGAGAATCCAAGAATGAAGAGAACATGTCCTCATTGTTGTTGTCCATGTAGAATTGAGCATGGCTCTGTGCTTCGCTATGGTGTGACGAAGATCCAGCCATCATCGCTGACCCATCAAGATTCTGCCAATTCTGATTGATACCATCCTGACGATCAACCCTAGGGTTTTGACGCGGATCCTGCAGGTTAGTCATCACTTCCTTAGGGTCCTGGGTGTTATCAGTTGTGGTGACTTGATAGTGATAGCCATTAGTCACTTGAAACTCAGAAGCACTAGTGTTTTGTGGGGAGATTGAAGCTGGGGCCACATCATGATGATCTGATGTTGGCATGTTGGGGAGAAGCTCTAACGGCTTGTGGGTCCTCGGATCGATTCCTTGGCTGATGAGTTTCTTGCTTAGATGAGTGTTCCAGTAGTTCTTGATCTCGTTGTCTGTCCTTCCTGGAATTCTCCCAGCTATCAGGGACCACCTAAAATCAAGGTCAACCAAACTAATTGGATCAAAATTATTTAGACAGATACCTAAAAGATCATGAGCTAGTATATTGTTAATCACCCAAATGTTCTCGCTAACTCGTGATTAATATATGTGTGAGAGAGTAACATCATCAACTTCATTACGTGCACAGGAAAGAGAGTTAAATAAGCCTAGCTAAGAAGGTGTAGAAATCTTTTAGACTATGCATGTGGAGGTTCAACACATCTCTGAAATGGATCGGGTTTTGCTATAATTGTGGAGTATTAGTGCTCACCTGTTACCAAGCAATCGGTGGAGCCTCAGGATGAGATCTTCCTCATCCGGTGCGATCTGCCCTCTCTTGACAGATGGGCGGAGATAGTTCATCCACCGGAGGCGGCAGCTCTTGCCACAGCGCATAAGCCCCGCCCGCTTCGGCAGAGTCCTCCACCTCCCTTCCCCTTCCTTCTTTACGTAACTGGCCAGAATCTCGTCTTCCTCAGGCGTCCATGGGCCTCTCTTGATTCCCACTTTGCTACAGCATGGGGTCGGCTTGCTTGGCGAAGTTGACGACGAAGACGACGGTGGATGCCTCATCTCTTCCCCCCTCTCTCTCTCTCCCTCTTCTTGCTTTGTCTCTCTGTGTGCGAAGGATGATTGATTGTGGATAAAATGAATTAGGGTTCGATGGCGGAGGGCTATATATGTAGGGAGAAGACGATGTCGAAAAGGGCAGGAAGGAAAAGTACAAAGAGCGCACAAGAGACGGTCTTCATTTAGAATGAATAGGCATATTGAACGGCCAATGAATTTTCAACGCGTGGCAGTGCAATGGCTATTATATCTAACGTCTGATTGCATGGGCGGCCATTTTTTGTCGTTTCTCACTGTAGAGAAATGGATGTGAGACTTGAGAGGTTGAATGACGGCTCATTCTCCAAAATGAAGAGTGAGATGGAAAGCATAACTTGTTCTCTTTATTTAATGTTATTTAAATAAAAGAAAAGGAATCGCTTGGATATTACGACTTGGCTTATCTTTCCCTGCGCATGTTTTTGGTAACTTGAGGGCAAAGATTTGGATACAAATACACTTAGTGCGTACCTGGTGACAAAAGATCCAAAAAAAGTGGCAAGGATAACAAGACGTACAGAAAACTTCACGCTTGATCACCCTTCACCCTCTGCCGGCAATTTACATCTCAATAGATTTCAACTGTTATATGCATCATCTGTTGAAGCTGGTTGAGATAACAACGGGAGCGGTTGTGTGTTAGACACAACGGCTTCTTCCTCGGTGTCTTTAACATCATCGATGAATGTAAACGAAGTACGCATTAACGGTTAAAATGGACTATGAAGCTAAGGGAAAAATCTTGTGCTGTGGAGAATTTACGACCTCTTTTTCTGGACAACATTGGGTATGACTCTCTCTACAGGATGACAGATGGCCTACTCCGAGATCATTTTGGACGAGAGATGTGCGACTCAAACGCGCAATCTGCCGCACCCGACGCGAAGCGCCTAATCTTTCGTTTAATTCCCCTTTAACATTTCGAATATGTGGACAACCCTTTTTTGTTTGCTGAGAAAGATTTTAGGGTTTTCTGTCCATGAGGCACACGTCCTTCAGGTCTTTGATATGTCAAACTCCTAAACCCTAAAAAGTTTTACGACTGATATATCACGGGATGCTTACATTCATCATGTGTCGCGGCAAATGGTTTTCTCTCTAGGGCTGGAAGGTTCCCCATAGCGTATTCTTGACGGGAGAGACTGTCCACTGAATTAGACTACGAAGTGGAAACTGTGCTTTCCGGCGGGAGCAAGGGAAGTCTATATGAGTAATGGTTACGGTAACCATTGAAGATTATATAGAAAATTAATAAGTTAGATGTCAAGCAGGCACATAATATAGACATCGGAGATGTGAAGGACTAACCATCATTGCACCAAGTTATGACAAGATTAAATCAGAGGTTCTATAAGTTGAGAATTGTGATAATAGAAAAATGTAACATCCTGTTCATTCACAAATGAAGAGTACAAGAGTCTATTTAGAAGCTTTACAGGATGACTATTTAACGTAGCAAAATATCAATCACAATGAATCAGAATCAATTAAGAGAAATAAACAAAATATCCTATATATATATATATATATATATATCTCCCAAATATATTTTATATTTTTAACATCTCCTCAAACTCAAGGTGATTTGAAAAAGGTCAACTTGAGTTTGGGAAAAGATTCAGAAATGCCTAGGTGGATGTGTCTTGGTGAAGATATCGGTAATCTATTCAGCAAATGTAGTACAGACAAGTCAGGCAGCACCATGAAGAACATGATATCAAATGAAATGACAATCTATTTCAATATATTTGGTTTGTTCGTGGAAAACATTATTATGTCTTATTCAAATAGCACTTCAGTTATCGCAATGAATGACTGTTCCGTTATGTTGATGCACTCCCCCATGTCTTCTAGTAGCCACGATAACAATAGAAACTCTGATGTTGTATCAACAAGAGCTTGATATTCTGCTTTTATACTAAAACTTTAGTGATAGTGGTTTGTTTCTTGTTACGCCATGAGATAAGTGAGATGCCCAAAAAGAAACAGTACCCTGTAGTGAAGAGACAATCTTGAGAGTCACTAACCTAGTTGGTTTAAGTTTTCAACTCCAAGGTAGATTGAGCAAAAAAGTGAAGGTCATGAAAAAACGTTACCTTGATGTGGTGAAGAATTCGAAGGACCGTAGCAATATAAGTCGTACGAGGCGTAATCATGTACTAACAAACATTATCGACAGGATAGGCAATGTCAGGTCGAGTAATAGTGAGATACATAAAATTGCTAACTAACTGTCTATAAAGTGTCGGATTCGAAAGGGAAGCCTCAGTTTTGGCATCAAATTTGGCATGTGTCTCACGAGGAGTTGTTACGACCTTATTGTTAGTGAGTCCAACTTGAGAGATATGATTAGTGCCATACTTGGCTTGTGAAAGATGATCACCAAGGAATCTGAATGAACCTTCAAGCCTAAAAAGTAGCTCAGTCGCCCAAGGTCTTTCATTTCAAACTATTGATTGAGATATTGCTTGAGTTTTGAAATGCCAATATGATTATCGCCAGTAATAATCATGTCGTCCAAAAATCACTTACAGGCAACGAGCTTTGGTGGGATTGAGATGTGGCAGCGTTCATCGTTCTTTTGCCGCGAAAGTTTAGGATCTGATTCTTCTAAGGACAGTCAGTCTGGGGGTGTTGTTTCTTTTCCAAAACAAGTAGTGGAAGAGTCTCAAACGACAAATGAAGTTGTGGGTTTGGCGGAGAAACGGAGGCGACGCGGCCTGTACGGCCGGTGTTGTGATAACTGCGTGGAGCGATGCGATCTATACGGCTGGCCACATGACAACCATAGTGGAGAAATGCGGCCTATGCACGTTGTTAGAAATAGACTCATTAGAAAGAGACCGATGGTTGCGCTCCACTAGATTATGATAGCTCCGATACCAAGTTGAGCATCGTGACAATAGAAAAACCTAATGTTCCATTCATTCACAAATGAAGAGTACATAAGCCTAATTATAGGTCTTACAGGATGACCATCTAATGTAGCAAAATATTAATAGAACCAATTAAGAGAAACATGCAAAATCTCCTAAATACATCTATATCTCTAACGGCATATATGTCCTCCCTTTTTACCGCGACGATTATAAACTATACATGTAGCTTTCCCAAATTCCCTACTCATTGTACGAGCGCGCATCTAACTCCATGCACCTCGATCATTTATATAGCACATATGTCGCCTTAGGCGAAATAATATTTTGACTACCCTACATACCAATGAGTGATCGTTTTCCCTCTCTTTTTTTGGCTGTTTTTCGTGCACAGAATCGACGATGTTAGGCTCATTCGGTCAGTGGGTCAAACAACTTTTCTTGTCGCCTTCTGTTTTGGTTTTGCGAACGAAAGGTTGACCGTCTCCCGGTCAGCATGCAATGAAGAAAACTCATGCAATGTATATGACAAGTCTCCCTCTGTTCCTTTCTCTGGATCTGATGAAGAATGGCCAGATGAAGACATGGAGAGCATGCCTAATTTTTCTCTTTTGCTCGCCTTTGAATTCAACGTGTTCTCTAATGGCCAACTTTTGGTCTGATCTGGTTATAATACGACTTTGAAAAGTCTATCAAACCTTCTTTTTTGCTAGAAGAAAAGCCTGTCGAATTGATATAAAATACATATATAAAACGCAACTTGGGAGGCCGACGAACCAGTGCTTTTTAGGTTCATCTGCCGCTGTTTTGGAATCGAATGTTAGGCTCGTCAACGGCGCGTTGGAGGCTCTCTCTGGCAGTGCTTTGCGCGTTTGTGTTCTTGTGGTCCTCTCGTACTTGAAAATACCTTAGCCTCTCCTCAAGAGCTGACAAGTTTGCGATTTGTCCCGGGGTCGTAGGAGCACGACACCGCGCATCGGACTCCGAGCAAGGTGCTGCCTGAATTCGTTCTATCGATCGAATCAATCGCATGTCAAGAACTATGCGGCTTGGATTTTGAGTCTCGTTAAAATGCAGTTTCATAAGTTCGGGTATTGTGATAGTTTGTATCCGTCGTATCGCTTGTGAAACAAAATTTTACGTTCTCAAGCTAAAGATCTCCGAGCGACGATCGAGATCACTTCTTCGTTCCATACTGAACGCGCAGAGTGGGAGTATGATGGAGTGCGAATTCATTTGAGTCTAAGTGCGAGAAACTGTAAAGTACAACCAAATGGAATAATCACCCAATCAATCATAAATCTATTGTACGAATGCTAATTCAGTCCTAAACTCTTCAATTCGTCAATGTAGTCCTAAACCTAACGTGGCGTCCAGTCATCGCCAGCCATCCTACATGGCACTCTGATGTGGACAACCTATGAATCGTTGCATTGGTGATTTCCGTCGGCAATCAGCTGGAATGACCACATTGGAATTCCGCATAAAGGTTTAGAACTACATCGGCGAAATTGGAAAGTTTAGAGCCCAATTGGCATCCGCACAATAAGTTTATGACCGAATTGGTAATTTCCCTCGACGAAATTGAAATTTACATAGATATGAAATACATCGAAAATGGAAAATACACGAGCTGGGTTTACATGTAACCGAAGCCGTTTGCAACAAAAACAAAAGGAGATGTAAAAAGGATAGATCTCTTCCCCTCATCCACGTTGTAATCTTGGATAACTCCTCCAGCTTTTCATCTCATCCACGTCGATGCCTTCGTATAATTTTGAACTTGCACGTCTCTTGAAAGATAACTTGCAGCCCCAGCTGCGTATCTTGAATGCACTTGATTTTTAAATTGAGTCTCGTTGACTCTTTTGCTAGAGGTTAAATCAAGATGATTAATTTTTTTATTCCTTAAATTTAATCCGCTTAAAGGAATGTTCCGGAGCAAATGTCTATACCTACTTTTATGAATATGCCATTTTAAGATTACTCGACGAAATGTTGGTGCTCACTTTGATTCTTGATTTAAAGGAATGCTTGATTTCTTAGCATTTATGTCTAAAGAAAGCATGCATTTGCAAAATAATCACATGAACATTAATGTGGTGGTAATCTTTGATTGTGACCATTCATCATGTCAAATTGAGATACTAATGTAGTAGATAAGTACAAATGGCATAAGTTCCAAATTAACATGTTTAGTTTGTTACCCCTAACATTACGTTAGTCACTAGGAAACATTCCTAAGGATGATAAGGCATCACGTGCAATTCATGTGTAATTAGCGTCTTCAAAAAATATGGTTCGATAACAGAGAAAGCCCTAAATTCTTGCAACATTCCACTCTCGCCGGTCTCAATCCCAAGAACCTTCGTCTCGCGTCCCCGTGACCTCTTCGGCCACCTCACCATCCACCACCACGCATAACAATTTTATGAGATTATTATATACCGTTCTAAAAGTTTGGCCTGTTGGATGAAAACGTGATTTGATATTTTAATATTCCAATAGATACCAACTCATGAAATTTATGCCAATTTGCTGTGCATCTGTTCTTGTTGACGGATTCGGACGTGGATTGTGCATTCGTGCTCGGGAAATTGATGTTCACGGCTGGTGATTGCTTTTTAAAATTTGGAGATAGTGTGCCACTTTGCCCCTCTATCTCTCTGTTCTTTTTACTTCCTGCTTTTGCTGCTTGCCACTAATTTTCATGTGTTAGATGGAAGACTCATGGAGCCATGGGATTGGGGTCGCTTGATTCTTTCCGTAGTTAACTTAGATTCTTTCCATAAGTCTTACTCCCGCATTATTCTTTCAACGTAAGTGGAAGATTAATTTTCCTCGGATTTAACTTTATTTCAAAATACCCCTTAAACTTGATCATTTTGACTTAATAACTCTTCTGAAGTGACACCCGTTTTTTCGGAGTTCCCTACCAACTTAAATCTTTTCCAAAATGCACAATGAACTCGAACACTTTGACTCAATAACCTTCTAAACTCATCACGGTAATAAATAATGTCCGGCCAACGAACATGTGCTGATCAAGTGCAATTTTGTGACTCCGCAAAGGGCATTTTGGTCCAAAAACCCATCGTAACTTAAAAACCCCCAAGTTAAAAAAAGTCCATTAACCTTATCACATGCTCCTCGCACACAAGAAAGCGCCTAGCTAGAATTTGCTTCAATCCACGACGTTCTAATTACAGCTTTCCTCCCGCATCTGCAATGATTCTCCATCTCCATTTTATTTTTCTTTGTGGAGAGGGGGGGGCACCCCCAAAATTTTAAAAACCTTTTTTAAAAAAAAAAAACCAAAACAAGAAAAATTTTTTTTTTGGGAAAAAAAAAAAAACAAAAAAAAAAAAAAAAAAAAAAAAAAAAAATTGGATCGGCGGTGATGAGCATAAGGTCATTGAGTCACGATGATCAAGTTCACATAGTATTTTAGAATAAAATCAAATCAGGGATGAATTTCGGGTTATTAAGTCAAAGCGGTCAATTCTTACGTGTTATTCAAATTAAGTCCGAAGAAAATCTCATGGAAAAAAAAAGAAAAAAAGAAGGTGTGGCGCAACTTCAAGAAATGGAAGCAGGGGCTTCAAGAATTTTTCCAAATTGCCTCCCGTTTCGTCAGTCGACGAGGACGGGGAGTGACGACGACCATCCGCGCGCACGTACACAAAGATGGCGGAACCTGTTAGATTCATGCGAAACAACGAGCACACGCTCGCATAAAAACTATAAAGAGGAGCTCGTTCGTTGTCACCCGCCCCTGCTGCTCTGTTCTTAAACCCCTCCCCGTCGAACTCCCAAGTGGGGGTCGCCACCATTTGCTTGAAAATCATCACCACTTGGGAGAGTCAGACGCCCGCAAGCTCGACCCACCCTTGTCCTCTCCCTCGCTCTCTCGCGTGAACCTCTAGTCTTTGATCTTCATCTGGGCTCGAGGGGTCCGCGCATTCGCCTTCGAATGGCGTCTCCATATTCGGTGGCTTCGGCTCTGCTGATTTTCTTGAGCGCCTTCGCGTCGGCGGAGTCGCGGCGGGGCTCTTGCCCCGTCGAGCCCTTCCCGTTTCTCTACGGCTTGATGTCCCGGTGCTCCACTTGGGTTTCGCCTGGTTTGCCTCTTCAGGTGCGTTGCTTTTTTGCGCTGGATTCCGATGGTTCGCTGCGTCATGTATCTGGCTGTGCTGAAAGTTTGCTTCTTTATGGTTTATGTGGGTGTTTTGTTCCTCTGGGTGTGTTCTTTGATGGGTTCTTTTTTCTTTTTCCTTCTTGGCTGGTGATTAATTCATTGATCATTTCCTTTGGATGTTGAAAATGAAAACTTGCCCCTCTCTCTCTCTCTCTCTCTCTCTCTCTCTCTCTCTCTCTCTCTCACTCTCTGTATTTTGGGTAGGGTGATCCTGAATTTTTTGGAATCCTTAGTTTTGTTTAATTTTCTTTCTGGGGGAATGAGTTCCGAGAATATGGAGATTCATAACAAAGATTACGGGTTGACTTTTTGTCATTAATCAGCTTTTGGCTCAAAATTTACGAACTCTTCAAGAATTGGGTGTATTAAGGGCCTTACTAGGAGGAGCACCTAGACACTGTGTGGAATGTGAGATGGCGGTTCTTTTGTCTTTTTCAAAGTAGGAATTCTTTCTTCCTCATATGACTTTTCAGGGAACACGATGTTTGAGTTGTTCTAGATGGCTCGACTGAGTTCGTTCTGTTACATTGACTCTTGACAGATGATAGATTAGTTTGCAAAACTACCTGCTTGAAACAGTTAATGTCTAATGAGATCTGGAAGAAAAGTCTTGGTTGTTCTTTTTTTTCCGATGAGTGAAGGAAACTCGGTTATATCTGGGGGTGATGTCATCATGAGCCATTGATGAGTACGGACCGAGCACATGTGCTCTTACTCCCATCAGACATAAGATGGCAGAGATCATATTTTCCAAACACTTATCTAGATGTAACTTTAAATAAAAGTAGCCAATGAGAAGAATATAAAGTTATTCCAATGTCGGACAATTTTCCTTATCGTTTAGATGATCAAAATAGGATAGAAGAAGAATACTGAAGATCTTATTCCCCGCCAACTTGTGATGATCTGCACTTCTGTTGAACTTGAACGGTGGGATTTATTTTTGAGCCAGGGTGATATTTTCTATGGCTGTCGAGGACTACCTCTTATTTAATACTTACTCTATGTGGGAGAATTTGAGGCTTGTTGGGTCTCCGTGCGGAGTCGCTTTTATCCCTGTACGGAAATCAGTCTCCCTGTAATGGGCAAAGTGAAGTTCCTTGATGGTGGGAAAGGTTCCTTTAGTGCTTCTTCTGAGACCTGGAGAGTAATTAAGTTGCTTTTGCTTTCTATTCATCTCTGCGTGAATGATTGAACTAACTCATGATTTTCAGACATAAAGCCAGTCCACTTATCAAGTACAACATAGGATCAAGTCTGACAATTTAATGGCAACCCGATACCGTCAGTGAAACCAAACATGTATTTGGCCAAAAAGGGAATAATCCAACTTGTAGATTTTACAAAGCAATCTAGACCAAGAGCAAGCGGTCGAGAGAATTTCTCAACTCAATGCTCCTGATGCCAGCCATGTGGCCCACAATGCAGCTCTGTCTATTGATTCTGCTAATCATCCATATTCAGAAAAGCATTCAATTGGAGAAATCTGTATATGCCCTGCGTTCAAATGCAGATGCACAATAACATATGAAACTCTCTAATTTGAGGTTAGCCTTTTGCTTTTCACTAAAAGTCGAGGTTAGGTTGATTCATTTGTTAATTGTTATGTGACCCTCTATCATTGAAGGTAATACTCTTTAGTCCTCTCTCAGTGCCATGTGTTTTTTGTAGATTTTCTGTTCATTTTACTTAACATGGCCCTTGAGACTTTTCATGCCAACTGTGCTTCTACTTTACCACATATTTTCAGCATAGAGCTTCTTACTGACTTGTCACTTAAGCGGTGTTGTACATGTTATGATGAGAGCTTGTGCATCTGTCTGTCTTTTGCAGCTGTATATGTAAGTTCCTGCAATTTTAGTTCTTTTAGCTAGATATACGCTACTTTCTCAAGATTCTGTGCTTTCTTGATCCGACTAATCTTTACATCCTTTGACCTTCTTCCCCTGCCTACTTCAGGTGGATGGATACTACCTCGATTGCATTTTGGGTTCCAAGGACAAAAATGCATGTACCGCTTTGCTCTTTTATGCTTCCTGGTGTCCATTTTCGCAGAGGTTGCTTCCTATTTTTGATGTCCTCAGCTCCATGTTTCCTCAGATGGATCATTTGTTAGTTGAGCAATCTTCAGTTATGCCAAGGTGCAATACTGCTTAATGATATGCTTCAAGCCTCCTTTGTTTTTAATTTACCACTAGAAGATCTTTACATGTTCCATTGCTTTTTGTTGGCCTAGACCCTGGGTGGTAGATTTCTGATATTATTGTTAATTAGTAGGAATTTGTGGTCGAACATAATAGTAACCGACAAATTTTAGGTTGTGGTGAACGCTGCACCGTCTTTTTAGAGGTTTAATGGGCAGTTTTTTTTTTTTATATTGTGGAATTTTTGCGGAATTTTCATTGGGAAAGGAAGGGTCACGCTTGGTTCCATCGGGAAGCGGAAGTGCAATGTCCTTTCTTAGATTGGAATTGCATCACTTGACCTCTTTAAGTGTATGGCTTTGTCTATTTGACAGTCGAGAGTCATTTAGAAAACATCTTTAATACATAATTTGAAATCAAGTGCATAGGGGGTGTGCAGACCTCAATGCTTCCATAATAATAATCCTCCTATTTACGTTTGAAGACCTTTTGCATGGTTGTAATAGAGGGTGATATCTGCTATCGGTGGACTAGCTAGGATATGTATGCATTAAATCCTTTGGGTGAGCGGGCATTGGGGGCAGGGATGGTAAGGTAATCGGCATTTCCATGTGAGTTCATCGTCCTTTGTGAGAGAATACTTGAAACATCGTATTCAGTTGGTTGTGAAACTCTCACTTGCATGTAGGGCCTATAACGTAGTCAGTCCATCATGGTGTCATTGTGGTCCCTTTTTCTTCCTTCTTATTCCAGTCCGGGGTGACATGCATACCTTGGATCAATTGAGCGTTTGTAGTGTCTTTGATCCCAATTAGGGTCTAAAATGCATATTTATCACGGATAATAATGCCTGATCTATTAGAGCATAATTAATCCCTTGAAAAAAAATTATTTGTCTTTCCTGAGAGGTTTTTCTCCGTGAATCCTTTTAGCTAGTGACATTATGCTTTATTATGCAAAATATTAATTACTTGCTTATATTCATATTGGTGAGTTACCATGTCATGCTTGCTCATTATCATTTCAAGTTTCAGTGTGCTTTCAAGATATGGAATCCATACTTTGCCCTCAATATTGGTAATGAACCGGACTTCGATGGTGAAATATCACGGTTCAAAAACCCTCCTCTCTCTGGTGCGGTTTTATGAGAGAAACACTGGTAATTTTTTGCTTTATTTTATTTTATTCAATAAAGATGTTGAGGATGATTTGTTTGCAGGCACTTGTGTTACAGCGCGCTTATCCTCCTTTTCTTTAATAAAGTTAAAGATTGTGTTGTTGGACTCAACTGTTGAAGGAACACTATAGTCGTTGAAGCCCCTTTACTTTTCTTTTCTTTTTTTGGTCACTTCCATGAATTTGCCTTGTATAATTAGCTCCATCAAGCAGAATTTACCAAGCATCAATGTGACGTCTGCCTTTCCGATGATAATGCAGGGTTCGAACCAGTTCTAGATTTCATGGAGGATCGACTGACAGGTTTAAGTAGCAGTAAAGAATCAAGCTCCACACCTTGGAATAGGAATGGCAGGACATCTATGAAGGAGATGATGATGAAGGATCCTTACTTGTCTCTATCTGTATCATTCCTCTGTCTGGTCCTTATGGTCAGGTTTTCGGAATCTTTGCGTTTGCTTCACATGATTGATGTGAGAAGGGCTTGGAGGAAACTGAGACTCTGCAAGAGCAGCAACTTCCATGTAAGCGCTAGGAATGCCCAGGCATGGGCATCTTCGCTGGCTTCTGTATTCACCCGGTGAATCTCCGTCAGCTAGATTATGAATCTTAGGTCTGTAACAATAAATTCTCTCTGTGCTAAACGAATGGCAAGAGAATAGATCATAAATTGGATGGTATAATTACCTCTCTCTCTCTCTCTCTCTCTCTCTCTCTCTCTCTCTCTCTCTCTCTCTCTCTCTCTCTCTCTCTGTGGCATGTGAGCTTCAAGATGTTTGCGTCTTTCACAAAGTAGTGTTGTTTACCGTCTTTGCGACATCTAGCAAAGACAGTTGCTGATCTTAGTTTCCGAGCGGCGAGGGCGATCATTTGTCTTGTTTTGACTTCATTCTTCGAACGTGACTCGGCAACCGTATTCGTGCGTTGGAACCTATGCTCGGAGCGGCAAGACCAGTCTCTTTCCCCCAAACTCTCAGTCACACTCCACCCCGGACCTTCTGCATCATGCTGAAAGACCAGACATTTGTTTGTGTTTTGATACTGCAATCAGTTGATGAATACAAAACCTAACTACTGTCCTAGTATTAGTATGCCGGACTGTTGTTTTGACTTCATGTCAACCCATGTTGGCGTTTGACACTTAATGCAATTCCTCCTATCTTACATGTGAAGCAAATACTGAACAGACATGATCACATTTTATTGTAATTCTGAGCGTAAACGAGTTGTAATATACCATAATTGAGTTGTCTCTCGTTATTCATTCTCTACTGTTTTGCATTCACGTTTCAGATCTCAAATGTTATCATCGATGAAAAGGACCAGTGAGACACAAAAAAGAAAACTTCAAGCTAGGGAATTACACCCAAGAGAGAAAAACGAAAGATTAGCAAGCAAAAGTGTGGGTTTTCGGGAAGGGTATATTTTATACGATAAGGGGTGTCGTTTTTCCTACATAAGAGATCTCAAGATTAAGACGCGTGGACGTAGAGACAGCTTTCTCATACAGAAATGGAAATTTACTTTAATTTCGAGAGGATATGTGCGAAAAGGGAATTTCAAAGGGTCATTACCATTAAAAATCTCAAATAGGAAATGCATGATACGCTTATCCCAAACTATTTGGTCTTAAGAAAAATCTTAAACCAGTATCTCTACCCCGAATTTTCGATTCACGTCGGATCCAAACAGCTAACGGAGGGTATATCTAGGGTTAAATGCGTCATGGGGCACCGATTTGAGATGTTTTTGCGAAGCGAACACGCGAGTACCGGTTTGGGATTTTTCAAAGCAATCGACCCAACTTCAGAGTGATCCACTTTTTTGCTGATTGGCCAAAATTAAGGAAAGAATATTCAAAGTAAGCCCACAGAAACAGCGAAGAAAGAAACCAAAGGAGATACGAGTGGATGGACAGAGATGCGGAGGGCTGTCCATCGCTTTCCAATCTCCTCATTTTCTCCTGTCGTTTTCGTGCCTCGCCAAGTCCAGCAAGCACAGCAAAGCAACAATTCATTCCATCATCCTTCCCCGCGAGAGGGGGCGACTTAGTTTTGAAGGAGCATCATCATCATCTATCTACCCTTCAAGAACTGCCCCTTCTTCTCTGTTCTCCCTGGCAAACGCTCTTCAAAAAGGTGTCCCGAGGACCACCTTAACCATTACCACTTTTTATCTTCTTCTTCCTTCTTTTGTCAATGGACTCCTCCTATTGAATCGATTGCATGTGCCAATTCGAAAATCCTAGATGAAAAAAAGCCCGTACAGTTGATTACCGAAAAGACAGGCACATGGTTTCAAAACTCGGTAACTGTCTTGTGCGTGTCGGAACGGGAGAGGTCTTTTTTTCTTTTTCTTTTTCTTTTTGGTCAGATGGGAGAGGTCATTTTGCCTGGTTCGATTTCGGCATATCGAGTTTAGATCAGTTTGGCAGCTTCAGATATATTCAGGTTACATGACGCGAATATAAAAAATAAAGCACGAAATTCTATGGAAAAAAGAAATAGAGTACGACGCGACTCGACACGTCATGTTTGATTTCCGAGACATGTGACCCTTCTATATTATAAGCTAATTATGAGATGAATACATGCTGGCATTCAGGGTAATTCCAAGTTTGTTTGTTTTTTTATTGGGAAAAAACCACCTTAAAAACCCCAAGCTTTGCTATAATCGACACATTACCCCGAATTTTTTGTGACACCAAAACCCCGAACTTTCTTTTGTGACACATTTACCCCAATGTATTTAGTCCATGGGCATTTTCGTCTTTTTGCTTTTTCTTTTTTTTTTTTTTTTTCCTTTCGGCGAGGAGGGCCTCGCGGCGTCGGCGAGGCGGCCATCGCGGTCCCAGCGAGGCGGCCCTCGCCGGCGTCGGGCGGTTTCGCCCTCGCTGGGGCGAGGGCGGCCCTCGCAGGGCTCGAGCGAGGTCGGGCCTCATCGCCGGCGTTGGGCAAGGTCGACCTAAAAAAAGAGGAAAAGGAAAAGAAAAAATATATAAAAACACGCTGGCGGTTCGCGAACTCGCACGCTACGGCCGGCATGTCTGACGCCGGCAGCCTTTATTTGGTTGACACTCGCATCTTCTAAATGGGCTAACCTCAATTCTGAGACCCCATTTTGAGAAAATGGCCTCATTTTGGACCCGAAATTGAAATTTTCCCTCTATCTACCCTTCAAGAACTGCCCCTTCTTCTCTGTTCTCCCTGGCAAACGCTCTTCAAAAAGGTGTCCCGAGGACCACCTTAACCATTGCCACTTTTATCTTCTTCTTCCTTCTTTTGTCAATAGGCTCTTTCCATTGAATCGATTGCATGTGCCAATTCGAAAATCGTAGATGAAAAAAAGCCCGTACAGTTGATTACCGAAAAGACAGGCACGTGGTTTCAAAACTCGGTAACTGTCTTGTGCGTGTCGGAACGGGAGAGGTCTTTTCTTCTTTTTCTTTTTGGTCAGATGGGAGAGGTCATTTTGCCTGGTTCGATTTCGGCATATTGAGTTTAGATCGGTTTGGCAGCTTCAGATATATTCAGATTACATGACGCGAATATAAAAAATAAAGCACGAAATTCTATGGAAAAAGAAATATAATACGACATCGACTCGACACGTCATGTTTGATTTCCGAGACATGTGACCCTTCTATATTATAAGCTAATTGTGAGATGAATACATGCTGGCATTCAGGGTAATTCCAAGTTTGTTTGTTTTTTTGGTTTTTGGTCTGAGCAAATTCCTAGTTTGGACTTTGGACGTGCTACTATTTGCTCGAAAAAAAAAACAACCGAGAGAATTGAGAAGAAATCCTCAAAAGAAAAGAGAAGAAAATTAAAAGAGAAAAGGAAATATCCGAATGAGCCCAATCAAAGAGGCGCACATTATCCAGCGTGGGGCCCACCTGGGACCCACCACCCTCCAATCCGTCATCTTCTGCACTTCTCTGTCTCTCTGTCTCTCTCTCTCTCTCTAACGGCCTCTGCACTCTTCTTCTTCTTCTTCCCCCGCATCAACGCAACGCACCGGAGGAACAACACCCCACCGACGATGGCCACGGCGATCCACGACGGCGCGCTCCCTCCGTGAAATCCAACCGCCTCCACCCTCCCCGCGAACGCCGGATCGCTTCCCTCCCTTCGGGCGCCCCCTCTCGAGAGGATGGACACTGACGAGTGGGAGCTCCTCGCCGTCGACGGCCTCCTCGACTCCCACGAGGACGGCGGCGGCGGCGGCGGCGGCAAGATCTACTCCCGCCGCCGGCGCTGCCACTCCGAGAGCGTCCTCGACATGGACCACTTCCGCTGCCCCCCTTCCCCCCCGCCGGCGGACCGGATCGCCACCGTCGCGATCGGCCCCGATCCGGAGGCGGCCCCGGGGCCTCCGGGGGTCGAGGAAGTCGCCGACTTGCCCGCTGGGGAAGTCGAAGCTCCGAGCCTGGGAGGCTCGTCGGGCTCGGAGCGGGAGATAACGTCCCGCGTCTTCTTCAAGAAGGTCGCGAGGGACGGACACGAATTCGTCGACATGACAATGGGGGAGGCCGGGGCGGCCGCGGCGGCGGAGATGGAGAGCCTGCGCTCGCCGCCCAGGATGGGGAGCGAGAGGTCGGCGGCGGCGGCGGCGGTAAAGGACAAGAACGACGCCGAGTGTGAAACGGGAGAGGTCCTGTGGGAAGAGAAGAGGAGCGAGAGTGAGGGTGACAGTAACGGGTTGAACAGCATACTGAAGAGGGGCTTCACTGGGATCGGTGCTCTGTGCTCGTTCGGAGTGGCCGCGGCGGCCACGTTCTGCGTCCTCATCCTCGGGAGCCGTCAGGGGAACGACAGGCAGAGCCAGCAGAAGCAGAACCTGCGATTCCAGCTCTACAGTGACGATAAGGTCAGAACGAAAACGAGAAATTTCGATTGATTTGTCATTGCAGCATTGTATATCTCTTAGAATGCAACACATTGCTTGGCTTTTCCCATCAAGTAGTTGCGACAATTGTCAACGTAGATATTGTTTTCTTGTCGACGCCCGCGGGTCTGGAGCTTCGCAGACCGCCCTGCGATTGCTAATTATCGGGATAGGAGGTTATCGCGGCGGCCTTAAGGGCTTCCTTCGGCGCAGTTTGGCATCGAACCTCGACCAAACTTGGGTGGCCCTTTAGATTAGTCTTTAAATAAGATGTGCCAGAAAACAGAGTACCACCATATGATGGGAGCTAAGTCCTTGAATTACCAGGAGGATGATCCTAAACTGAGTATACTGTCAACAACAAGATATGCATGTGGTTGGTGATGTTTTCACATTGTGAGGAAGGTTGAAGAAGACAGTTTTTTTGTGTTTTCTAGATAGTAGAAACGAGGCTTGCTGCTTAATCCGGCATATTACAAGAAAACTTAACATGCAGAAAAGGTGTCTGTTTTTACGTACTCGAAACATATAATTCTGATTGAGGCGCTTGTTAACACCGTGATTCGCCTCCTGGTTTAGGGTAGACATATAAATTAGGTTTCTGCATGCTCGATACCTATCGATTCTGATTAGCTCGGAACTTGTGGTGCAGAGAATTAAGAAGGTCGTCCATCATGCAACCAAACCGAACAAAATGATAGCTGCAGTGAGAGGAGTGCCTCACACCCGCGCTCATATCATCGTCGGCGGCTATTATGATACTCTTTGAAGTGTGATGCATGATTGTCCTCAGTCAGCTCTCGGGATCCTCCTTATATGATATATGTATGGGATCCCCATCTTCTTTGTACATGAAACTTCGCTCTATCTGTATGTACAGTAGCATTGCAAATTTCTAGTATCTTATGGTAAATCAGATATGCCACTGCTGTATATATTCTGAACGGTATATCGTTGAATGTATGATTGTCTGCAACATCTAAGTCCGGACTCAGCGATATTTCTAGTGCTGTATGTTGGGAGCTGATTTAAGCTATACAACTGCTAGAAAACGCATCAGTCCAGCTTTTAGTCTCATGTCGACAAGTCATGAAGCTTTTGTAGGATATTGGAGGTTGGCTGCATCTCCTTATTGCTTTGATGACTCACGCTAGAGGAGGAAGTTTAGTGGGACATGAGTTGGCATGTTGATTCTTGTTGTTTAAGCAAACGATCACGCGCTGCATAAAGCTTGTACGACCTGTTTATCTAATTTATCTGTCATAATGGCTTTATCACTTATTCAAATGGTCAATTCAGTCCATGAGGAAACCCAATGAAATGGTAGAAACGCCAAATGATGAATCATCTGAGCTTCTAAGAGCAAGCTAAACAGCCATGGCAGACGGTTCTTGAAATCTGCCCTGCGTAGCTATCCGGGCCAGAAGATATTTCTCTCGGGACATGAACGGAGAAAAACGTTGACCGGTTGAAGGAAGGGGGGAGACAAGCGAGTCCCACGTAGTAACGAGACAAGCTTTGTTTAAGTGCCGGTCGAGGTCAGTTTCTGTGAATTATGTGATGTGGGTGGTGGTGGGGGTAAAGCTAGAAGGTGAAAGACAGTGGTTGCAGCACTGTTCATGCGAGAGGAAGGATATAGAATGAAGCAGAAAAGGGAAAGAGAAAAGAAAGAAGAGAACTACAGCGAATGAAGGACGTCTGTAGAGATCCCTGTGAAGTAAGGAACATGTTCCAATTGTTGGAGTGAAGGGTGGTGGTGTTCACGATGGGGACCCTTCGACAAAGTTACGAGCAAAACTGTTAACAGAATTTTCTCCTCATTGTGCGATTAGGTTTCGATGTTTTCTGCATAAAGGAAGCCGGCCCCTCGACATTTGCCTGTTCCGTTAGTGTTCGTGTTTCGAGCTATTTTATGAATTTATCCCTATCGCATAGGCGTCGATGATGTACGTTTACGGTCCTTGATTTCGATTCTAGGATTTCCAAAACTGTCCATTCCCTATGCTGCTACTTCGTATCATATATGGAAACCTTACCACGGTAAGGACAAAAGGTGATGGATAAGCGGATCGATTTCATGAGTTGGTTGTGTGCTTCGTTTCTCCCCCAATGTTCAAAGTTTCAATATTGCATGGAGTTTTACTTTGGTTTTTATTTCCACTTCTTAATTTTCTTAATAAATTTGAGATCCGTGCCGATACGGGTGAATGTCTAGTTATTACATATCATGAGGATGCTCCACCGTCTCACATTTACGAGCCTGCACAGTTTGTCAGAGCGAAGCTTGCTCGTTTTTCATTTCGCCGAAAATTAATAATTTGGAAAACGTTATTCAAACAGTGTGTTTATATGGCTTAGAAAACTTAATCAATCGGAAAGTATTTGCACATCAATAACTATTATGCCTAAACATTTTCAGTTGATGATTAAAATAACACATTCATTTATTTTTGTAAATGATACAAGAAATCATTTGGCGTGGTGTTGATTTGTTGCTCAAAACGAAAATGGGAACAGACAATACATGTAAGCAACACCATCAAGAGTACTTCAAAAGGAGGCCTATACCAACATATGTTCGTGGACAATACATCGAAGAAGGCCAACATTGAAGCGATGTTGCAAACACAAAAATTACGCAAACCAATGATGTGATATACACCGGTCATCGAATATCGAACATTTTATCCCTTAGGATCTTGATTTTTCTCATATCAATGTGATTTTGACTATACAATAGTGTCGATTTTGCAGTGGTAGATATTTCAAAGATGAGTCTACGTGCATGTAATTAAATGCAAAAGCCATCAATAAGATTCAGCAACCATCATATCAAGAGAAAATGTCGTTACTAGAATTGACTAGTTAGGAAGGTGGGACAAATCGAAAAGAGAGAGCAAAAAGTACAAGCAGAAGATAAAAGACCGACGTACAAAGACATCAATCCCGAGTCATCACTGATTCTCATTTTGCTTTCGAGAGTGAAGTGATGCACCAAATGGAGCACCCAATCCGTGAGAAAGATACCGAGGGAATCCGCGCGCAAATCCGTTGAAAACGAAAGCCAAACAAGACAGAGGACAGGGTTGACTCAGACGAAAAGCCCGAAAGCGAGAGCGCCAATCAGAGAAGCAAGAACGGCGGGCATGAAGGCGGGGGCGTCCGAAGCCGGCCCAGGCGCAGGCGCCTCGGCAGCCGATACACTTTGGATGGCCGACACGGCCATCACGGCGATCACCACGGCCAAGAACAATCTCATCTTCATCGCCTCCATTGCAGATAGGTTTGTTGCTGGCGAATGACGGTTGCAGTCGCAAATGAAAGGCTTTACTTCTTGCAGGCTCGATTCAAGAGAGAGCAAGCTTGCAACTTTATGAGAGCTATTGGGTGAGGAATGTGTAGGACTATATATGCAAAAAGAAGAGGCAGAGAGAGGCAGAGACAGAGAGAGCACATGGGGCGTGGTTCTCTTTTTGGAGTTCTTTTTAAAGCCTGCGTAGTTGGAAGACTGTGTTGTTTCAGGCTTTTTGGTGTCAAGACAGCTCTTTTGACACCAACCATGATATCTTTTTTAAGGAATAAGATCCCACCACCCCCAACTTCATGTTCTTGATGATCAATCAAAAGAGAGACACATACATCTTCCAGTGCATAAGCATGGGTTTAATACTTTATCGTGGCACAGACTGATTAGGTTAAGGTTTTTTATTCTTCATTTCTTCCTAATGCTCTCTCTGTTGGATTCTGTCTATGCGCACTTACCCATCTGTATGTTTAGGTTAGGATGAACTACCAGGTGATTGGAATGTACATGTGTCATTCCGGGGGAAATTTGCCCAAATAGTCTTAAACTTATTGAACTTGTGCCAATTCATTCTTAAATCTTTGAATTTGATTAATTTAGTTATAAACCTATTACACTTATACCAATTTTAGTCTTAAACCTTTCAATTGTACCAGTTGAGTCCTAAACTTTTTTGCGATTTGCCAATTTAGACTATGTTTATTTCGCGGAAAATGAATGATTTATAAAAAGAATTTCTTAAAATTGATTAACTGTATCGCTTGAAATAATTAGTTAATAAAAAATGTTTTCATTATTGATAACAATTTAAGTTTAAACATTCTTATGGACGATGAAAACATTTTTTATTCATTCGTTTTTGTGAGCAATAGAAACGATCATTTTCAATAAAATATTTTTCAAATTGTTCATTTTTTGCGAAACAAACGGAACCTTAGTCTAATCCTTTTGACAATTTACCAATTTAACCCTTCAGCCCAATTTTGGCCATAAATCGCTAAGGTGACAGTCCAATTAGCGTCGGTCGTCCTACGTAGCATAGCATGACACGACCAACACTGACATAGACGATTTTTGTAATTTTTTTAAAATTGTTTTCCTTTTTTCTTTTTTCTCATTCATTTCTCTTTCTTCTTTTTCCTTTATTTTCCTTCGCAAGTTGCTAGCTGGCTAACAGAGGTTGCTAACTGCTAGTGAGGGCTAGGGTCGAAATGCCCTCACCGACTGCTAGTGAGGCCGGCCCTCGCCAAATTCGACAAGGGACCCTTGCTCATCCCTTATCAAAGGCTAGTGAGCTAGGCCAGCCTCACTTGGACGAGGGCTAGGCAAGCTGGGCGAGGGTCCCCTCGCCAGATCTAGCGAGGGGCGTCCTTGACTCTGGGCGCAAGGGTGTCGAGGCCCTCACTCTTGCCGATAGCCAGTGACCTCCACCGGCCATTGCTAAGGCACCTCATAGGAAAATAAGGACAAAAAAAAAAATGTAAAGAAAAAAATGAAAAAATTCAAATTTTTTAATAATTACAAAAATTATCTATATCAATGCCGGTCGTATCACATAGGACAACTAACGCTAACTGGACCGCCATGTTAGTAATTTCCGGCCAAAATTAGGCGAAATGACTAAATTGACAAATCATCAAAGAGTTTAGAATCAAATTGGTAAAATATCAAAAGATTTATGACTTAATTGGCACAATCGAAAGGTTTGGGATTGAATTGGAATCGTCAAAGATTTAGGACTAAATTGGCCAAATTCAAAGGTTTATGACTGAATTGACACACGTGCAATAAATTCAGGATCTTTTTGGTAATTTCCCCTGTCACTTTATCATTGCTGGACACAAAACGAAGAGAAAGGAACTATAATATGCCATTTCATCGTTGTAACTGTAGCATGTCCACATTTACATCACGCGGTGGAATGAGTGAGCCAACTATACGTGGTAAATTTTCTATCAGTATAATAAAGAACTTCTTTTGCGGCTTCGAGAGGTTGCGGTCTGACCAGCGCAAGCAATTCTTGTTCTCAGCTGGATCCTGCAGGATGAAAGACATTTTAGCAGTAAACAGAGTTGAGCTTTCGAACTTCCAACATGAAAAGTCACTATCTAGGATCATGAGGATACTAGATATGCATCATGCAACAGCATGATGAACGGCATAGAGGAGATAATGTTGGCTGACAAGTTTAAGATGTCGACAATAAGATGGAGCAAAGCTTTTTAACTACCTCAATATATAAAACCATTTCTCGATGAAGTAGACACCTTATGGGTTTTAATCCATGTAAAGTTGGGCGTAAAATGGTGATGAAGATCCACAAAAATACGAGAAAAAAAGCTCTGATACATTTACGTAAAGTAATGTGAATTCAGGAAGAGAGAGTAGTCAATGATCTCAATGGCCTCGACTAACCATCGCAGATTTTCAAACACAGTGTCCAATTATCAGATAAGACCAGTCATGTAAGGGGATTCGAACAGTCAATATCCACATAAAGGTTGGCATAGTGTTGAATGTGAACTGTATTCGAAGCCCTCTTTTCTTTTCTATTTTCTCTTATTTTGGAATGAGACAATAGGTCCCCATGAGGGAGCCATCTGCTTTATGATATGCTGAAGCGAACAGATTCCAGAGAAATATTACCAAGACATGGGCAGCTCTTTATCCTTTAACTGC